GGTTATTACCAATTGCTCATGCGAGCTAGTGATATTCCGCTTACTGCTGTTAGTACTCCGAGCGGTATGCTCTGGGAGTGTTTAGTGATGCCCCAGGGGCTATCTAATGCTCCGGCTACGTTTAACCGTTTGGTGACGCAATTGTTTCGACCCCATCAAAGTTATGCACAGACGTATTTTGATGACATTTTTGTCCATAGTCGAGCTGAACATGGGCAGTCAGATATTGAGAACCATATTGTTCATTTACGAGCTGTGCTCGAATGCATGCGCACTAATAAACTTTATGCTAATGCATCTAAGTGCATCTTCGGGGCCGAAGAAATTCCCTTTCTAGGGTGCTTCATTGGGAAGCGGGGCCTACGAGCGGATCCCGCCAAAGTCAAAGCCATAGTCGATTGGCCTGTTCCACAGTCTCAGAAGGACTTGCGTAAATGGCTTGGCCTTGCCAATTACTTACACAAGTATAGCGAAAATTACGCTGATATGGCTCGGCCGTTATCCAATCTCCTTAAAAAGGATGTGGAATGGTGTTGGCATGCCGAACACAAAAATGCTTTTCAAGCAGTGAAGGCAAGCCTTCTACATGCTCCTATTTTGGCTTTGCCAAACCCTGACCGACCGTTTAGCGTCGTCTGTGACGCATCGGATTTTGCCATTGGCAGTGCTCTGTTACAATCAGATGATGAAGGCCGTGAGCGTGTAGTCGCTTTTGAATCTCGCCAGCTGAAAGCTGCAGAAAGAACTATCCAGTTCATGACAACGAGCTACTTGCGATGAAGTATGCCCTGGTCAAATTCAGAGTTCATCTGCTGGGCTCAAAGCCTTTTGTGATCTATACCGATCATGCGTCGTTACGCACTGCGACTCAGTCGCCGCATCTCTCGCAGAGAATGGCCAGATGGCTGTCATTCTTTGCCGAATATAATTTCGAGGTGAAAGATAAGCCGGGCAAGCAAAATGCTTTGGCTGATGCGTTGTCACGGAGACCTGACTATAAGCTTGCACATGTTACGACGTTGTCGTCTTCTATCACCGATCTCATTCGTACGGCGTATGCTAGAGATGATCACTGTATAGCGTTGCTACATGCTCTTGGCAGTAAGGATCGGACATTAAATTGTCGGCACGATTACGTGCGAGCCTCCATCGATATTCTATCGAAAAGGGGCTGTTATAATATCGTACAGATGTAGCGGATCCTCCGCGTATTGTGGTTCCTCATGACGAGGACCTGAAGTATCGTATCCTCTATGAGGTACATGACACCGCCATCGGGGGTCATTTGGGTCGTGAAAAGACCTATGGGGCAGTATGTCAACGTTATTGGTGGCCCAAATTATATAAATGGGTAAACACATATATGCGTACGTGTGAAACGTGTCAACGAGTGAAACCCTCACCCCATTCGGCAGCACCGCTGGCTAGTTTGCCTATCCCACTGGGTGCTGGGAGTCCATTAGTATGGGCTTTGTATTTGGCCTACCGAAAGATTCGCATGGCAATACAGGCATTGTGGTCTTTGTTGACCGCTTAAGCAAGATGGCTCACTTAGCGGCTGTGCCAGATTCGATCGATGGTGTGGTTACAGCGGAGCTGTTTATCGATCGTGTGTTTCGCCAACATGGCTTGCCAGTGGCAATTGTTTCTGATCGTGATCCTCGTTTCACGAGTAAATTGTTTCTGATCGTGATCCTCGTTTCACGAGTAAATTTTGGAAGTCCGTCTTCCAGGTGCTGGACACCCGTTTGGACATGTCCACAGCGGATCATACGCAGACCGATGGTCAAACTGAACGCGTAAATCGCGTTGTTGAAGATATCCTACGCAGCGTTTGTGCTGGAACGCCTAAACGTTGGAGCGCTATGCTCCCTGTAGTTGAGTTTGCTCTCAATAACTCCGTGCACGCCTCTACCGGCTACACTCCGTTCTATGTGAATGGTCTCACACACCCACGCGTTCCGTTAACGCTACCACCGAGTGGTTCAGGGCTTGGTGGGGGAGAGGTTGTCGATCGGCTTGCTGATGTCAGCCCTAATATTGTTAAGAAGCAGGTAAATGCGTTTCTCGCAACGCGACTAAATGTCTTACGACATGTGCAAGACGCAATGGCTGATAGCCAAGACAAACAAAAAGATAGGCGGATGCTAACGGCAGAAGTTGTATTAATGATTATGAGGTCGGAGACCAAGTATTACTAAGTGCTAAGAGCCTAACTACAAGTGTAGTGTCTGATGTCTTATAAAAGAAGTTGCGTCTGTACTTCATAGGACCCTTTAAGGTCATTGCCAAGAAAGGCACAGCGTATACGCTTAACTTGCCGCGCAAATTGCGTACACATCCTGTGTTCTATGTCGCCATGCTAAAACCTTATCGGGATCCGTCCCAAATAGACGCTAAGGCGTTCGCGCCGAGCTCATCGGCATTGTCGCGAGACGAAGCATCTGCGCCAACATGTCAAGCTGACCCTGCATACGGGTCCGACTCTCTTCCAGGGACGCAAGCCGGGAATTCATCGTCTGCCTCTCCTCACGAAGGGATTGCACCTCCTGAACAAGCTCGGCATGAGCTTGTGCCGATACACCGGGCTCCGCCTCCTTTGCTCGATGCTCAGGGGACCTGCAGTTCCATGTGGAGCGTCTACTGCAGAAGCGTCGCCGCCATGGTCAAAACCAGTATCTGGTGAAATGGCGGGGTTATCCCGAGTCGTGGAATTCATGGGAGTTTGAGACTCCCCTTCGGCAGGACTGCCCGTACGCCGTGGACGTTTATGAGCGTCGTGCGCAGGATCCGCCTGTTGGCGCTGACGCTTCTCACCAGTAATGGTGAGGGTAGGCGGGTTAGCGGCCTCGGACTGTCGTGGACTCGCGGCTACAAGGGTAGCCGAAACATTGGGCTGCTGGGTGCTGGCAGACGCATAATGCGTTCGTTGGGATTTCAATTTTCCCCGGGCCTTCAATTTAGCGTAATCATAACGCATCTTCCGCTCAAGTCGAACATCTGCCACATCGGCACTTGCCGGTAGGGCCCACATGCTGCTTAAACGGCGCGCATAATGCGCCCAGCAGCTGAAAGCCGTGTCTTCTTCGTCCTCGGTTTTCCCCCACGAAAAGAAGGATGGGACACCCTTTATGGGAGAACTGGCGCACCGCGCACTTGCCTGTTAAGGCGTGCCAAGTATTGGCTTTGTGTAGTGATATGGGGCTCCAGATATCGTTGTCGAAGTGCCGTGCGCGTGGCAACATCCTCAGGTGAAATGGCCTCAGGCCCAATGGTCCAACCAGAAAGGGAATGCCCAGATGCTTCCTTTAGGCGTTCTTCCACCGTAGGTGGCTTGAACCTGTACTGTCGGTGGTCCTGCAGTCTCGTCATATTCTTCGTCCGGCGCTTGGCGCCTTTCTCTTGGTCGATGGACCGCTGTTGCTGCTCGTCGAGTGGGTTGGTAACTGTTGGACCGTTGACGATGCGTCAGGCGGGCCACGTAACGCTGTTAGCGCATCTGCTGCACCACGTTCAGGGAACGGATTCGGTGCATGACTAGTGTCATCTTCACCCGTGAGGGTGGCTAAAGGGGACCCATCGGGTCCCACAAAGACGGTGTCACTTTCGTAATCAACCGCTTCGTCAAGGTTGTCTTCAATGAGGTCCCGAAGAGTCTGTGACTCACTGCCGGGAGGCGTCATGTTATGTGCCGTGAACAAACTGTGAGGTTTTAAACGTTCGCTAAAGCACTACCTCTACGAGGAAAAATGTCGAGTGACATTCTATGGGAGCGTCAGTCTGGTGGGAGAGAGTGTAACGGGGTTACACGACGGTTGTAGCGTCTTTCCGAGAGTTTACGGTTAAATTCTCCTTTGTATTGCATATAATGCATTATTATACTTCTCTTTAGAGAGGTATTAAGTATGAGCGTTATAATACGGTACTCAATAATACCGTATCTTATCGATTGAAATTCGATGAATCACTAACGCTGTACTAAGTACATCATACACAGATGTTTAGACGATACGTCGTTCAATAGCAAAGTCTGCATATAATAATTACTATTATAGTAATTAATCTAGTGTAGTGTACTTAGAGTAGGACTATTCATAAAATCTTAAAGCATAAATAAAATCAGTTCTCCTTTTGAGTTTAAGATCACAAGTCGTTCTGACTTGTTCTCTTGTGCACTTCGTGCGTTGGTTCTCTGAACCTCTAAGCTCTAGCTTGTTCTTACACTCTGCGCGTTGGTTCCCTGAACCTTAAGCTTATTGCTTGCTGACTTTAAGTCGTTTAATTAGTTCCTTAGAACTAAGTGGCTTTTAGCCTTAACTCTATTTAGTTCTCTAGAACTAAGAGGCTTCCAGCCAAAAGTCTTCCTCTGGCTAAAGAGCTGTGCAGCTCCGCTACACAACTGGTAATACGACTGCTTAAGCAGTCGACCAACCGCACAGCCACCCTCGCACGCGAAAGTAAGACGGTCAAACCGCTTCCTCGCTTGTGTTGAAGGTGTGTGCTAAGTAGTACGAGGCAGTTTCGTAGAAGTGCCTGTCTACAAAAGAGCTATGTAGCTCCGCTACAAGTGCCATCTGACAAGTACATTGATAAGAAGCAGCGCAGTTGAGAAGCATGTTAAAGTAATAACAAAAACGAAAGTAGATTATGCTACATTGAGTATTAATTTTTACATGTAACCAGCTTTGCACAAGTGCAACTACAAGCAACAAAATCTCACAATACTTGCAGCCAAAGCACCGAGCATTTCGTCTTCACCCTTTTCGCATTTCTTAATCTTTAGCGTCCAATGCAGATACTTACCTTCACGTAAGCGCTTAGGATATCACCAAGCTTGGCCGTGAGGAGGATGAGCTTAAAGAGCAACAGCGTCGCTTCATTGTGCAATGCTGCATTTACACTGACTTTAATGAGTAAGTTCCCCTTGATCCGCCTTTCAAAAGGTTTAATAAAGCTTCAACTTTGTGTTCAAAACATCACATTTAGTTGTTCGGTTCGACATGATGCCGCTGGCCCCGCGCATGCTGCTTCCTGTGGCTATGACTGGGCGATCTCTTGGTCGGTCGCAATCGTCAACGCTGCATCTCTTCCACATTTATCCGACGATTCATGACTATCGAGTAATGTCCGTCTTGTTATCGCGCCGAGAAGCTCGTAGACAGAAAAGCGCTGTCCAGACGCCGATGCTGCGACGATCAATGAGCCTATCGCCACCGAGTGGGTCGGAGAAACATGAAAAACGACAGAGGGAGATGAAGGAAAAGACAGCAGCAAAGCTCTTGAGAGAGAAACTGAAGAAGGATATGGATACGGCAAAAGGCCTCGTATGACAATGTCACAATGCTTCGTGTCAAATAATTTTCTAATCGTTATTGTGCAATTGATAGGCGATGCATCAAGTAATCAACGTGCCGAACGTTATCACAGCTGCCAGAATTGTGGCTACGCCTTACCTAGCGTATCTAATTGTCCAAGGAGATCACGTCTCAGCTATCGGCTGTACGGCGGCATTTTATTGATTCAGATAAGATGGAAAACTAACAAGGCGTCCTTTTGGCTTTTACCGCACAGTGCTGGCAGTAGCGGGAGTTTCCGATTGGTTGGACGGCTTTATCGCGAGAACCTTCCGCCAGGAGTCCATTGTCGGCTCGTTTCTCGATCCCTTTGCGGACAAGTTGCTGATTGGCACTTTGTCGTTTAGTATGATGTGGACGGGGTTGCTTCCGCTGCCTTTAGCTGCTCTTATATTGGGTCGTGACGGAATGTTGATCGGAGGCACATTCTACCACCGTCTAAAGACGAAGGACGAGTCCTCAGGAGTTTTTGATACATCGGACAGCGGAGCGTTTCAAGTCAAACCGTCGATCTTAAGCAAGGTGAACACAGCACTTCAACTATCAACCTTTGGACTTGCGCTGACCAACGCTGCTTGGCAGATGCCCCCCGACCTGGCGTTGAATTTGCTGTTGTACGTTTTCATATAATCGTTGGCATTGAGCTACAGGTTTGGACTGATTTCCATGTACTTCGTTGTGTACACGTTTAGCGGCCTTGTCGGTACAACGACGTTTCTGTCAGGATCTGAGTACTTGTATGGATATATTACAAAGACTGGTGCGTTCAAACCTCTACCAAAAGCTGTAGAGCGACCAATCCGGAAGGCGGTGGAGCGGACCGAAGCAGTCCTTGAGCGCACCGAGGCTGTTGTCAAGCGCACTAAGGAAGTGATAAGGCACCCTCTCGAAAAGGCGGTCCGACTTACAAAGGAGCGGCTGAAAAAGTAGGAATATATCATGGTACAAAAGGCGCTGGGCACACACAAACATACCATCCTTCGTATGTGTCCATTTCGTTGTTTTTGTTTTGACCCCCATCTCAATTTCTACCTGAACACCGCCCGTCCACGGAAGGTGTCTAGTAACGGAAGTATAGACCAGTGTCCTCGCGCGTGTCCTCCTTTTGGGGCAGGCCTGTCTCGCCCACATCCCGCAGGATCTTGTAGCGTTCCATGTCAGCTTCGTACTCCTCGAAGCTCTTGGCGCACTCCACGGCATGCTGTTCTGCCAGCTGTGTGTACTCAGCCGAGCACTGCTGCATGAACTGCATCTCCTCAGCTGTAAGGTCGCGCAAGTAGCGGGCGGGAACACCTGACCAGAGCTGGCCCGAAGGCACCTGCATACCGTTGGTAACGATGGATCCGGCCGTAATAATAGACTTGTCTCCAACCACAGAGCCGTCCATCACTTGCGCGCCCGTGCCAATAATGCAGTGGTCCTGAATGGTGCAAGCGTGGACGATGGCGGCAGGGCCCACAGTCACATTGTTGCCGATCTTAGTGGGAATGTCCTTATGGATCTTGGCCACGTGCACCACAGCTTGGTCCTGAATATTTGTGTTCTCGCCAATTGTAATGTGGTTAACGTCGCCGCGTACCGTGACGTTGTACCAGATGGAGCTGCCCTTGCCCACCTTCACATCGCCGATCACCGACGCGTTAGGCGCTACGAACACCCCCTCTTCAAACTTGGGCGAGCGTCCCAAGTTCTTTACAGCGCGTGTTGAAGGGTTCACTGTCGTGCAAATAAAATTACAACAACGGCCAAATTCTACGAGTTAGTTAAACCAGAGGAATTGTTGTATCCTCATTGTACTCGTTATAAGTGCGCGTGTTCTCAACACTTGACTTACAGTGCTCCGTGTAGGTAAATTTTCCCTCCAGTGAAATACCGACGCGGTCGATTGTTTGTCCAAGTGACCGAATGGCCTTACCTGCATGCTTTGCCCACATGCTTTTCAAGTCTCCGCCTCCCGTTCGTAAGGTCCTTAAGCGCTGAAGGTGATCACTAAATGTGTGGTATACATAGAAGCACAAATATCATGCTTCCGTTTATTTTAGAATAATTTAAATACAATTTTACAATTTTTGATACTTTCGTCATGAAATTCACAGACCTTAGGGAGGGCGAGCGTCTGCGCGACTTCGACTACTCCGTGCGCGTAAATCTGTCCAATAGCTCCCTCTGTGGCGACCGAAAGCACTCAGTCGTTCTTAAACTACGTCTAGAAAAACCTGATGGATCTGAGCGACAGGTTGGTGAATGAAGTACACAATGGTTCAAATTTTGAACTTTGACTCAATTTGCCTTTCAGGTGGTCTTGGAGCTGGACGACAAGCAGCTCGCTCTTCTTCTAAATGAGTTTGGACACATCCATCAAGAACTGCAAAAACACTAAGATTAAAACAAGGACGAAAGAGCTTTGTATATTCTCTACTTACTCCATCTGCTGGCTTTGACGTGCCATTGCTATCACACTGGTAGTATTCGTCTCTCTTCGTGATGCACGCAGCATTGATCGCCAGCATCTTCTAGTGCCTCAGCCTCATAACGTCATTCACGGCTTAAGCTTTCGCATTAGGCTCGTCCGTGCACTGGCGCACCTTACGTCTATAGCTTAGTCGTCCATGAAGAAGAAGTTACCCGAAGTCTTTTGCTCAACATCCTTAACGGAGCCGTACTTGTTGATACGCGGGCGGTAATTCGTAGGGTCCCGTCGGAACGTGATCTCAAGCTGCTTTAAAAACGTGTTCATACCCGTCAACAGACCCTGAGGAGCGTGTGCCGTACATTCAATACCTGGGTTGCCGTCGTAGACTACCACGCGGTCGGCCAGGTACGTGGCCATGATAAAGTCGTGTTCCACGACAAACGCCGTCTTCTTAGCGTGTAAAATGAAGCGCTTGATAACCTTAGCAGCCAAAATACGCTGCTCGGAATCCAGGTAGGCAGACGGCTCATCGATCAAGTAAATATCCGCGGGCTTGCCCAGACACAAGATAATGGCCACTCGCTGCAGCTCACCACCAGACAAATGGGGTACAGCCTGATCAATAATGTTGTCGAGGTTCAGCGGCTTCGTCACATCCGTCGCAAACTGCGGGTGCACAATGGCCTCACGGATACGGCGGTGCAGCAGCTCACGCACTGTGCCCTGGAACTTCGGCGCAATCTTTTGAGGCTTGTAACTAATCGTGGATGAGTCATAACGTAAAGCGCAGTTCGATATTGCTTCATCGTCACCAGACTCTTCGGCAGCCTCCATCTCGTCCGACTTGAGTAGACCAGCTAACATTCGAATAAATGTAGTCTTACCCGTACCGTTCTCACCAAGCATACAGATAATCTCGGAGTTGGTAAAATCGCCAGCTTCGACGTGCAGTTTAAAAGCAGTGTCCTTCTTTTTCTTGTACATCGTCTTCGTCATCGCCGGGTAGTTGAAAGAGTTGGCATCACCCTCGCCGGTGCCAAATTCATCGGCGTTCTGCGAGACTTTGAACGTCAGCTCCTCTGTACGGAAACGCAAGTTTTCCGTGGGCACGAAACCAGCGAGAAAAATGTTGATACCTTCACGCACACCGAAGGGCATAGTAACTACACCATAGGCCGACGGTGTACCGTATAGCACGCAGATAAAGTCGGACAGGTAGTCCAGCACACTCAAATCGTGCTCGACACAGATCACGTACGAGCGTCCATTGTCGTCTATCATGGAGCGGATCACGAGAGCGGCCTTGAGACGCTGACGCACATCCAGATACGACGAAGGCTCATCAAACATGTAGATGTCGGCCTTTTGCACCGCCACGACAGCGATGGCAAAACGCTGTAGCTCACCACCCGACAGATTTTCAATCTCACGGTCTTGAACATGCGACAAATCCAGTTCCTTCAGGAAATGGTCGAGCTTCTCCTGCTTCTCGCAACGAGCAGACAGAATGGCATGCACTGTACCTTTGACAGCCTTAGGGATCTTGTCCACATACTGTGGCTTAGTAATTGCCTTTAGATTGTCCTCCAAGATGCGCGTGAAATAGTTCTGCAGCTCCGAGCCACGAAAGTGGGTGAGGATCTCCTGCCACTCAGGTGGGGCGTCAAACTTACCCAGATTCGGCTTAAGCTTGCCTGCCAAGATACGAAGCGCCGTAGACTTGCCAATACCATTTGTACCGACCAGACCCAGTACCTGACCTGGACGGGGCATGGGTAGACGGTGGAGTTTGAACGTGTTAGCACCATAGCGATGCGTCGTATTGTTCTCCAGGTCTTTGGGTAAATTGATGACAGTAATAGCCTCAAATGGGCACTTTTTGACGCAGATACCACAACCAATACAGAGCTGCTCTGAAATAAAGGCCACTTTGCTCTTGGGACCTACTTCAATGCAAAGTTTGCCCATGCGCACGACGGGGCAGGACTTTTTGCATTCCTGGCGGCATTTTTTTGGTTTGCACTTGTCTGTGCTTACAATGGCAATTCGCGTAAGTTTGTCCGACATAGTCGTTCGCAGTTACCCTGGACTTTCGTTCCGATGGTCCAGTACTGTACTGATGGCGGTGGCTCTCCTTTTCCGAGATGAGTAGCACTTGGAGTTTGTATGAGCTCAGTAGTTGGCTGGCTCAGCCGTAGCTAGCCGAAACCCTAACCCTGACCATTGGGAAAACCACAATATATTGCGATGAGAAAATAATTTATTGAGAAGTTGCTCAAGGCGGGCAGAATGGAATTAATTCTATAGATTAATTATTTATTTATTTATTTTTAATAAATTATAATTACAGTTGCCAACGGTACATTAAAGCCAAAGCTACGACTGCAAAAGTCACGTAAAATGAAACAAAGCTGTATGCATTGGAAATTACGACCGCAAAAAATGGATTTAACTTTACTGATCTAAGACCATAGAGGATGGTGCCTCGGTAGCTGCCGCATCCTTCTGCTTGGAAACCGACACGTTGAGCTGTGCCTGGTCCTTGAGTGCTGATGCCGCTGGCTCGATAAGAGAAATGTTTTGCTCCAGCTCGCGCATGTCGCGCGCCTTGGCCTTGGCCTTGCTGTCCTTCATGCGGTTTTTATAGAAAACAGCCTCGCGTTTCTCCTTGATCTGCGTCACACGCTCGATGGCGTGAATGGTAGCGCCCATAAGCTCACGGTCGTACTTGACAGCACGATGACGTTGCTTATCGAAATCGAACGTGGTGTCCAGCGCCATCTCCTTGCCCGCTGCTTTTCGGAAGGACTTGGTCCATTTAACCTTGCGTGGATTGCGCTTGCGGTTGAAATTTTTGTGGCACTTGGAGCGGCAGAAGCGGAAAATCTTGCTGTCATTGCGCACGAAGGTGATGCCATGACCCGGATATACGGGGCTCGAGCAAAAGTAGCACGTATGGATACGCATCGTTGCTGTAGCTGTTGCTCTATTACTGTCACGAATTAAACCACTTGAGATGGAAAATTCCGGCTGATAATTGGATGGTTGGTGATGGTTAGTCAAAGTAAAACTACAAATGTGTGGTCCACGCAATTGAGCATTTGGTGGAAAATGCTATTGAAGCCAAGTTACTAACTCACAGCAATCTAGATACATTAACCTTTGCTTATGTAAATGTACGCGCTCTTTCGTGCGCGTTAGCTATCCTTGTCTAGATTACTCTGTCTTCGGAAAATCTGACCACCTTATCGTAGTATCAAAAGCAGCTCCAGGCCGCCATTTTTAGCGTAGGACACCTGAGGCAGAATCTAACGAAAAGGTGATGTCCGTCTTGCACATTGATTTATAGCCATCGTTACCCCATCGGAAGCTCAAATTTGCTCGAATTATTTCTTTACCCGTGAAGCGAGGAGGTCACTCAGTTCCATCGGGCCCTTGGTCTCAGACTCGCGAAGGTCGTCCGCAGTTAGCACGTCTTGCTTCATCGGGACAGAAGAGAGAGATGCCTCCTGTTCAGCGATTGCGCAGTGCTGCTTGATGCGCTCAGACACAGCCGTAAGGTTCAGATCCGTCACGTCGGACACGGTGGTATCAGCCAAATTAGATTGACATGTCGTGCCTACAACAATACCCGACCGCGAGCAAGCAGTGACCTCATCCTCCGATATATCATTGAACAAAATTCGACCAGGAAGAGAGCTGGGTTGGGTGAACGGAGAATGGTTGGGTGGCACAATCTTCGGAGTATTTTCCATGCCAACGTAGTTGGCACGACCGGTAGCTGGTATATCGATACTGACACTATGCGGTGTAATGTCTCCAGTGATGAAGCTTTCATTTTCAGCAAGCGCACTTTTACGATCCAAACTTCCCACTGGTCCAGCGAATTGAATAGGACTGACCTTTTTTTGAGGGGGTGCGGCATCGCTACGTCGTTTTCGATTGAGAGCACTAAGGTATGCGCTGCCGTGATTCTGACGAATCGTAGCTTCATCCATACTAAGCATTGCAAACTCCTCAACGTCCTCATCGCTGGCCACTGCAGCCCCACCGCTCGAGTGTACTCCCGTGTTTGAAAAGCCAAACATTCCTCCGCTTTTCTTGGGTTGATACTTGCTTGTACCAGCCTCGGGTTTCCGGTCGATCTTGGAGCGCATTGTCACAAATCCAATGATCCCCAACGCAGCCACGACGATGCCGCCAACGATGAGAGTATAGATGATAACCGACGAGAGACCGTTTCTGCCTGAATCTTCACTTGGTCCAGAAAACGGCGTGGCAGTGGTGTCGACTTCTGCACCAGAATGCGAGAGGACCTGCACGTTAAGAAACACCGCGTAGTCGTATCGTTTGCTCGTAGGTTTGTTGCTAGGCAAAATCAAGTGAGCCAGCAGCGTATACTTTCCTGGCTGATCGAACGACAGCTCCGACGAGTCAAACGATGCCAGTCCGTCCGTAAAATTGAGCGGGATGTTCGTCGTGTTTTCTGTCAGCTGTGACCCCGTCGTCACAGGGTTACAATCTACACCGTACAAGCACGTTCGCAATCGCGAAGATATGATCTCATAGTTGTTTTGCGATATGCGGTCAAGTCCGGTAGACAAAACAGTCAATCCAAAGGCGTTAGGCTCAAAAGAGCCGTCCGAAGCTACGCGCATTTTGGCATTCCACGAAACGTCGACTGATTCGTACACGTACACGTCCTTTGTAGGAAAAGCTATCAACAGCTTAAGAGGGCATCCGTTGCCCTCCGCGCTCACCATTTTTACCGAGGAGCCGTCCACGGTGTTGGAATAAATGGACGTGTCCACTTCCCAGCAGTACGTAGTGGCGCCGTCCATCACAAAGGAAGACGCCGTCGACATACCGGCAGCCTCATTGACCAGCAGCAAGGTCGCCACGATGGGCAGCCATACGGCTGAGCTCCAGCCACACCTATACACTCTCCTGACATTGGTTCGGCACCGACACCTGCAAGTATCTGTCATTGTTCTCTGCTCGTTCCAGTCACGCTGTTGCATGAGGTCGAACCACCAATTTTTGTATAAATTGATAGTTTTTAATGTACTTCCTAAAGAAGTTCCTTCGTTCTAAAGACCGATTCTTCTCTGGATAAAGCTGCCTATCTACAAACGCTTGGCCTACTATCCTTTAATTATGCTTCAGTTCGAAACTCTTTTGAGCATCTGCGTCGTTCAATCGCCAGGCCAACACACCCAACCACTTCGTCACTCCGGATATAGGGGTATGGGTCCTATTTTCAAGCAGTTGATTGGCCAATAAAGCCTGAGACATGTTTTTTTACATTTTAGAAAGCTGCGATTGGCTCGTACCAATCATAGGAGCAGCAGCTCTTTTTAGACCACTGTCTAACTGATGAGTTTACGGAAGGCTGGGCATTGCAACACTAATGAATACGTGTACGCAGTAGAATAAATAATAAAGCAGTGTTTTTATGTATGGATCCTTTTTTGCCTGGTCTCGCCTACATCACAATTTAATTTTCGCGTTATAACAATTGTTATAGTGGCCCTATTTTGGTGACTTCTAAACTAATTTGAAAGAAAAAGGATCGAGCAGTATTTATTGAATGACACCCTGGTTTAGGGTTATATAATTACGTGGAAGTCGACGGTGGACAAATATTTTGACGGTAACAACCACTTCGCTCCGATGCGCTTGTCTTCTAAATTACAGTGCTAATACCTTGCAAGTCATAGCACTAATGCGTAGCCTGTCCACGCAAATCAAGTGTTTGTAGCTCAAGCAAGTCAGCCACGCACGCAGCCGTACATGTAATGGTACAAGTTCAGTAGACTCGGCCAGGTTCAAGCACGGTCAGTAAATTAAGTGGCACCACACGTCCCATGTCTGTAGAAATGGAAGCGCAAGCCAAATCTCGGTAGACACGACTCGCGAATGACTCTACTGTGTTGATTGTGTTAGTGATACAGAATGTATTCTTACATTGAAGCTCTTGATGCGGCCAAGACAATCATAGCTGGCTGGCTGGTTGTAGAAAGGCAGAGCAAGTGCCTCAAAATTTATCGATATGTTCTCGTCTCATAAATCTTGAAAGCTCCGTACTTATAGTTGCGGCTGCTCTGGCCTTCCAAGCATAACGAGGCCTTATCTTATGTAAGAGAGCTACGTCGAAGTTAATTATGTTGTAAGAGGTATCATCATATTCATCGGGTAGATATTGTTGGCATCCTGCTTCCTATGCGCGATGCTTGCAACAACAGCCTAAAGGTTGACCCAATGCACATTACGCGTCGATTTTTTGTCGTTTCTACGATTTCTTGAAGGAATGACGAGCACAAATAGAAGCATCTGGTCACTATCAAATTGAAAAGCATCTGGTCCTTCAATAAATATTCTCTCTATTACTACTATCTGCTTGTTCGTTCGTTATTTCGCTTGTCGCATACGTCTTTACGAATCTCTGTAGTTTAATGTCTCCAGTCTTCATCCTGCAGTCAAGGACCGATACGATGTCAGCACGTATCAACGAAATTGGAATGTCATACGTCCGAGCGAGCGAGATTGGAATGCGTCATAGTGCTGCTAGTAAGTCGCTTGCCTGATCTTACCCTACGTGACAAAGCACATCCTCCCGTCACTGCATCGGATCACTGACGTGTTTTTGTTTGGATATTTGCACTGTGTGTCTCTCTAGATCTGCAGATGATCGCCGGGACGGTGGCTAATAAAGCACACGTTATCGCCACTATTCTGTCGCGTGGCAGCAATCGCGTCCGTAGGCAGCGGCAGATCAAAACCGTTCCCACAGCCAAAGCAGAGGACGAGATCTCGCCTCTGTCGCAGCAAGAAGATCTGCAGTTGCCGGAACCTGAGGCCGAGGTGCCGAACGTTGAGCCAATAGTGTCAGTGGAGAAACAACAGGAGAAGAAGGCAGAGAAAGAGAAGGAGCTGCCACCGTTGCTTCCATGGGAGGTCCGTATAGACGGCACGACGAGAGAGAACTTAATTGTGAAGCAGAAAATTCTAGAGCTTGCGATCTACCGCCGGACGTTCGTTGAACCTGCAGACGGAGAAGAAGAGTATGAAGTTGATTATGCAGTGCTTAACATCGTGGCCAAGGAGCTGCTGCTAAGTAACCCCAACTTGCGCGAGAAGCGAGAAACGCTCGTGAAGTCCGTACCTGTTGCTGTTGTGTCAGAGGAAGTCTTCTGGCGAAACTTTTTTTTACGATGCAATGCTGTCCGCTTATCGGAAAACATGCCGTCATATTTACCGGAAGCAAGGCAAACGCCCATGTTCACTAATCCGCTGGCCAGGCTTAGGCGTGGGCTGTTTCGCAAGCCACGCTTGTCCGCCAACTCGGGTAAGTCTCGCCGCGAATTCTTGACGGTTGGTGGCTCTATTTCATCAATTAGCGACAAGACGTCATCAAGCGATGATGATCCGAGCGATCTGGTGCTGGACGTCGACGGTGAAATCGAGAAGGAGCTGGTCAAGCGCCGCCCATCGAGAGCTGTGGAGCTTTGCGTGCAGCCTGTGCCTTCTTCTCAGCATAACGACATTATGAATTCGTCAGCTACGAAGCTGGAAAGCACTTCCACCAGCAAAGAACCAGAGAACACCCTTGATGCAAACAGTCCCAATCAGTCGAAGGCATCGGAAAAGCAAGCTTAACTTTACGAGTAGATCAGAAGAATGTGAAATAGTTACCAAATCGCTCGTACTTTCGTAGTGGTTTAGTCGTGTGATTAAATAAAACGAGCGCGTTACTGCAGTACATGACAACGAAAACCTGCGTGGACTAAATGGGAGTACACGCGCCGATTGACAAATCATCTATGGAAAAATGGCGGTGGCGGCAGTATCCACATCAGTGCAAATCGACGTAATTGGAACTGACACGGGCAGCATCATCCAGCCGGAGATTTTCTAGCCACTGCTCCGGCTTGGCGCAGTCTGTGGGAATCTGCACTTCGATCGCCGGCCCCCCATCGTAAATATTCTGGTAGTAGTCCCAGCTCTGTTTGTTGATCATCCGGAAGTCTTTCTTAATGACCAAACTCGTCTTAATCTGGAACGTGCCATTTGACAGATCGTCTGAGATCAGCGGCATGTTGTCTACTTTGCCAGGGTTGTAAACCTCTTTACCTTTGTACTTTGATACAAAGAGCAGCCAAGCGCGGACCCAGTCCGCGTTCACAGCAAACCACATCTCGCCTGGCTTGGGCTTTGTTTGATGGAAACTCTGCAGTGTACGCACTTCTGCGCGGATGTCGTGCACGACAAAAAACTTGGAATCGCATCCGAACTCGTCTTCATGGGTCACGAGCGTGTCCGCCATATTGGACACACGGCCGTTAGTCATGGCGGTGTACCTTGACGGCACGCCGTAGCCATTGAAGCGAACTATGAGCTTCCCATGTTTTCGATTGCTCGGAGCTTCCAAAGCCTCTCGCCGTGTCGTCTTTTCCGTTGGCTGTAAGGGAAACGTCTGTTCATGAGGCGGTTGCTGTGTTCAAGACAAGAAGAACGTCAACAAGTTGCAATCTCTCCTTCTCTACTCTACCACCCACGCACCAATTTGAGGTCCATAATGTCTCTTAATGACAACATCAGCTGTCCGATATCTCTCTTGAACAGACCAAACTTCTCGACGTGTCGAACAGTAAACAAGACGCCCATGACGCTATTCGTGTCCACTTCTCCAAAATCCACATCAAAATTCCAGATCGGATTAAGTGAACTCTTGACCACTTTAGACTTGAATAACTTCGTGGTCTGTCCATGACACGAGCCTCCTTCAGGTAAAGACGACAGGTTATTCATGTTGTCTCGAGAGGCCTGCATACCCGGCGGTATCTTGAGGTTCGTGCACTGGTATTGACTTGATCCGTCATTGGGTACGAGTGAGACGTCTACCATGGCATTGCTAATGATGTTCTTGTACATGGGTCGTAGCTCCATGGCGGCCACTACACGCACAGACACGACACAAGGCGCCGTCATGGTTTCCAATGTGGCCGAGCCGGGCATCAGTAGCGGCTCGTCGTGGCGCGGGGTCAGTAGCTCCATGGCACCAAACCGGTCAGTGGCCAAAGTGGACATCACTCTATAGCGCTATAGCAGACGTTCGTGCGTTTATATAGAGGTCGGACCACACACAAATACACACACAACGTGTTACCTATGGCCGGTGATATAATGAAGTGACGGCGACATTAAACCGACTCGAAATGCTGCCAGCTGTATCTGACATGTATAAATAGAGGAAATTCGAAATGAAAGGTTATCTGAATCCATAAATAGTATCTAGCTTTAACAACAACTATATTCGATTTATCAGGTTATTCATTTTTATTTTCGCTCTAAAAACTAGTGGTGGAATTTTTCAAGCTGTGGATTTTCCACTGAGAAACAGGCGGATCGTCCAGCTGAGAAGACATTCGTCGCTGAAGCTGAACGCCGTGTAATCGCAAGAGTTGCAAAGAGTATCACAAGTGAATCGTGACCAACGATTGATATCGCGACAATGCGTGGTTGCGGCCAAACGACGACGAACAAGCTCGCGAGAAAAGGTACTTTTGGACTGGCAATTTTGTAGTGCCCAGAGTGTCGTTGAAGTAGAAGATGGTGCATTGAAGCGGCCGCTCTACGACCGTAGCAAAACTAGACAGATAGATTCATAATTGCCTTCTCCGACCAATACAGAATTAAAATTGCGTACTTTGGGCTGTAAATCAGCTGCATCATCTTCCACTTTGACGACACTTGTTACAAATATCTTGGGCACTAAAAAAGTGCCAGTTTTACGAAAAAAGAAGCTCGTGATGATGTAGCTTATAGAACATGGTCCGGCATTACCGACATACGTTTTACTGAACTTCTCGAGTTATTTGTCTAGACCGAGAGGCCGAATGTGGTGTGATCGTCACACTACTTCGATCACCCTTCTTAGAAACAAAGCTAATTACGATACTGGACAAGTGCGGGGTCCACTGATACCTTGCATTTTGACGGCGCGAAACTTTCTGTAACAAAAAGTAAGAAAAAAATGTTCCCAAAACTATATACGGGACATGCATATAAACATATTGAAACACATCGTGGAAGCATAAAGGGTTATCTGAAAGGGCTGCAAAGGAGCGCAGATCAAACGATTGTGACGACTGCTGAGACTCGATGGACTATTGTCACACTTATCACTGCGCAGGGACAGGGACACGACATCTTGTACTTCGTCACAACTATCGTATTACCATTTAATATAACAGAAGCGTTGTAAGAATTTCCCGGGCTTCATATTGTTGCTAATACAAATCTTGCTGGCCCTATCTATATACGTACGATAAGCCTACTATGACAGCATCGAAGAATGTTATTGCCATTTTTCGATGCTGTTATAGTACACTTATCATCCTTATCATCCAAACCACGTACATAAGCGATTAGTTCTCACTTTCTTAGAAGTAAAGGTCTAATGCAGCATTACCTATAAGTATTACTTCATTGTGATCAAGTAATATCACTGTCTACTTAGTAGACCTCCAGTACATAGCGGCCTTCTTCGCGCATACGCTCAATGGTCGCATTTGCCTGACGACGGTCCAATCCGCCAACCTGCATAAAGGAGCTCACCAGCGCCTCGCGCACATCAGCCACGGGCCACGTCGGACCGCACAAGTAAAAGTGACCATTATGGCGTAGCAGCAAGTCGGCCAAGATCTCCTTGTCCTCGGCAATCTTATCTTGAATATACACCTTGTGGTCCTGGTCACGCGAGAACGCGCAGCGCAGATACGTCACCAGGCCATCAGCCTCGTAAGCGTCCAGCTCGTCGCCGTACAGATACTCCTTGGCCTTGTGGCGACTGCCGAAGTAAAGCGCCACTGGACCCACTTTGACGCCTTGTGAACGTAGGAACGCACGCTCCTGAATGAAGGCGCGGAACGGGGCCATACCCGTTCCCAATCCCGCCATCACGATAGGATCCTCTGGGTTGGTAGGCAGCTTCATCACCGATGAGCAAACAGACACTGACAACTTCTGGCCCACCTTGATACTTGACAAAAAACGCGTGGCCTGCCCGATGCGGTATGCGCCGCTTGGGGTAGTCCAGTCGTGAACCACGACCAGCAAGTGCACGCTAGTCGAATTCATCTTCATGCTCGACGCGATCGAGTAGTGGCGGGGCTTGATACGCGGCACCAGCATCAGCAAGTCAGCTAGCGTCGGACGCGCCGAGGAGAACTCCTCCAGCAGCTCCGCGAACGTCACTGTCTCGTCCACACGACGTTTGTACTCGTCCTTGCCATCCGCATCAAGTAGAGCCGTCAGTGTAGTCTTCTCCTTCTCATCCGTAGCTCGCTCCAGCAGAGCCTGGTAAAATTTCTTCGATGGCCGGCCGAAGATGTCCAACACGTGCGAGAAGAGCTGAAAGTACGTCAATATCTCCTCGCTACGGCCTGTCGAAGCCTCGCCCTTCTTCTGCTTGGAAGCCACAGGCAACGCAATCAACGCCTCCGGATCTACGTTGAACGTCTGCAAGAATTTTACAACAGCTTTCTCGTCGTTGTGAGCAAACACAGCCAAAGCCTCACCAATGCGGTACTTGATCGCCGTGTTTGTCGTGTCCATCTCAATGTGAAACACATTACGCGAGTAGTCCTCAGGCGTCAGACGCTCCCACTTCGTCACGGTCACCATGTCTGTCACGTGGTCGCGCACTCCGCGGCGAGCCTCGAACGCGCTCGGGAACATCAGGTGCCATGCTGTCTTCGTTTCGCGCGACACTTTTGCGTACGAGCGGCGCTTGCCATTGACCTTGAAGGCAGACATCGCCGATTTGGCGCTGCTAGCGAAGGGAACCTTGCTTACCGCTACGCTTGACAATGTCGTCAGTCGTTGCGCTGCAGTCTCTTCATCGACATCCGTTGCAGTCAGCCACTCGTTCGACGGATACGTAAGCGTTAATACGTCGCCCCACACGGCTGACACGAACGCACGCAGCGTCGCGTGCTTTTCCGCAGGCACCTGAGCTTCCAACAACGCCAACACTACGTTCTCATCGTACAGACCCGATGCCTTGAAGAAGGCAGCTTGCAGACCCACCGAAGCAACAACGTCGTCCTCCACTCGAGTGGACAACTCGTTCACGTCCACCACTAGAACCTGAATGTCGCGAGACGCCACCTGCTGCTTGAACGCTGCTCGCTCGTCAACATCGTCGGCCGTCTTCCATCCCGCAAGCATCAGCAGTTTGCCGCCCTGCTTCACACTGCGAGCAACGTCGTAGTGGGACAGCAGTTCGGGGCGCATGACCACGACCACATCTGCCTGCTCAATAGGAGCCGATGCTGCAGTAGGAATGCCACCATCCAGATTCACCCAAACCTCGAGCGTGGACACCGGGCGCACAGTCGCCTCCTCGCCGGCGCTGTGGGTCACTACTGCGTTCACACGCGTGGCAGGGTTCTTGTTCAACAAGTCCAGCGTCGATTGGAACAGTTTGTCGGTCTCGGTACCAGCACGAGCGGCATCATCTTCCACGTCATCAAACCCGTAGAACAAGTACTGCTTCGTGTAGGTAGCCGATCCCTCAAGCTCGAGCGCTCCACCAAACACCACGTCAAACTTAGTGGCCTGACTGCTCTCCAACGAAGCATTGACCAAAGCAGCATCATATAACTTCTCGTTCTTCGCCACCACGAAAGCTCGGCGAGACGAAGCCGTGGCCAAGTGACGCAGCACAGCGCGCCCCATACCCGCCGAGAAAGTCGAGTTGCGGAACACACCGCCATACACACCCGTCATCACAACGGGGGCAGTCTCCACCGTCGGCTGCCAGTGCGGCGATTGGAAAAACACCTGCAAATTCTGAGTCAGTAGACCACGTTGGAACGTCAGCGCACTCGGCGCCACGTTTTCCAATGCTACCACACGCTTGACCGTCGTCGGAAGTGCCTGTGCGAACAGCTTGTGTGACCACGGCAGTAGCAGACGGACCTGCACCACACCGACTTTCGCGCCCAACATCTGCTCGTATGCCACTGCCTGCTTCAACGCACTAGCGGCCTCACCCACCACTACCACGACATACTCGGCGTCCTCCTTGCCAAAGTACTCGTACACTTGGTACTGTCGCTGCAGGACGTAGAACAGTTCGTCCATGACGCTCTGCACCTGCTCCACCACGTCTCCAGTCTGCGGTGTAATCGAATGCCACGTCGCGAGCGTCTCTAGCGAATGCTCCGTCAGCGTCCCCACCTTTGTCAGCTCGTGTGCCACCCGCACTCCATCGTAGAAATGCACAAGCAGCTTGTGCAGCCGCTGCGCAACCACATGCGCCACAATTGCTAAGTCATGGCATTCCTGAGGAGATGCCGAGTTCAACAGCAACGCGCCCGAGTGCTGCAGTGCGTACAGCGACTCGTACGAGCTGGCGACGGCCATGTCACGGCGGATAGACTCACACGCCACGTGGACCACGGCGGGCGCCGACGCCGCTGCGTTTTGCGCTAGCTGGAAGAGGCTGGGCAGGAACAGCGGCAGCGTCTGTGACGGAATCAGAGCCGCAACTGATGCGCCAACGGACAACGCGCCTCGCACGGCGTCGGCAGCTCCTGATTGGATCTCGAGCGTCACGACGCGCGCCCGGGCGTTGCGTTTGATCCCCTGCGTCTGGACGCTATCGGTGGTCGCCAAGAGCGGGTACTCGAAGACGTTGGCACTGACGTGGCTGGCGACGTGGAGCACGGCGTCCGCACCGGAGCAGAAGCGGTTAGAGCGTGTGAACAAGCGACTGTTGAACTCCGCGCGGCCGGCACGTAGCTTGTGCAGCGGCGTGAGAACTCGTGAGGTCGTGGACGTGTCACTGGCATTTTCGTCCAGCACGTCCACGATCAAAGCGTCGGTCTTGAGCGCTGGACCAGATGCAGAGGATATGAAGCCGTCTTCGACTTGGTAGTCGGCGATGGTCGACATGGTTGGACGAAACAAATTGTGAAAAGCATTGAAGTTGTGCTGTGATAACACCATGAAGACGCTCGCGTTATGGTCAATTTGATTTGGAGACTGTCAGCCAATTAATACGGCGGAGATGAGCGTGTCAGCCTTGGCAATCAGCAGCTGTAAGCGTACGATGTACGTAACTGTCATAAACCGACAACAAGATGTGATTGAGATTTTGTCTAAGACTCGGACTTCCAAACGCATAAGTAGCGTTCTGCAAGCACTAATTTGATTGAGAACCTACTTCTTTGCGGCCAAATGAGCGCTGAGATCCTGTTAGAAGAAGCTACTGGCTCTTGGTCGACGCACCGATAAATTGCTCATGTACTTCTACATGCACGTATTTGATAAATGTCGATACGTGTCGTTTGTGATGGAGAATATTATGCACGCCCTCACCACGCTGTCTGGTCTACAGAATTTTGCTGCCGCACCCATAATTGAGCTATAGGTAACACGGCTTGATACTATTTAACTCGTGCCGTACCGGTGCAGGGATTCAATGGTCTATCGAGCTACGTGCACAAACTGCTGAAGTAGTTCTGGGACTCACGACGTGATCATCTGCGATGCAAAAATAAGATGAACGACAAAAAAAACGATGCAATGGTCACAAGGAACTCAGCTTGACTTTGAACTCAGTTTCTTTGTAGCCGCGTGTTGGCCCAAGGTCTGTCTCTATCAAAGCAACAAGTAATGGGCGACAAAAATATCTAGCCACCACTTGAAGAAGCGAGCAACTTGGCCATGCGGTCGTCGAGTTGCTGAATGTTCGATTGGAAAATCTGCACATTTTCAGCCAAGCTTGCCTCCATCTATGACGAAAAACAAAGACTTAGTCAGTATTCACACATCGCCACGTAGGCGTGTTTCTGCCTGTAGTAGAAAAGTGGCAGTCCAGTATCACGGAAATAGATGACGTACATTGGCGAGTAAAGCAGCATCTGAATCCAGCAGCTCATTTAATGAGGCTTGAGTTTGCTCCATCTTGCCCACACGAGCTGTTAAGTTGAGGGCCTCATCATGCACTGACTTTAGCGTGACAAGTCGGTCTACAACACTTGGCACCGAGGCCGCGACGGCATCAAGACTGCTGAGCTGGTCGTATATCTTTTGGATATGCTCTCGGTCAGCCTGCGAGTTCAGCGCTCCCTGTACACTTGGCGACTGTTTCAGTTTGCTGAGTAGTGTGAACTCGTGAACAAGGGCTGTGGTGCGGGTCTTAACTGCGTCAAGATTCTTCTCGCTCATCAACGCAACACGTTGCTCGAGTTGCGCAACAGTTGACGTCAGGTCTGTGCTCGACGCGCCACCAAGCAAGCCCAAGCCGTCTAGCCGCAGCTCCTGCCCCTGAAAACTCCCAACAGCTCTCTCCAGCGTCGAAATTCGCGCTTCAAGTGTAGCCACCCGAGTCTTTGCGTCTCTATCAACGGCATTTAGCTCGCCATTGCTGTATATCTCGTACACGATAGGTGCGCCTTCGGAGGAGGCAGAATCATCCGTTTGACCCTGTTGTTGCCTCTTGATTGCGTCGATTTGCTGAAAAAACTTGGCCGTCAGATCTTTCTGCAGACGCAACGCCGCATCAGCAGTAGCATCAGCCGAGCCAGTGCACAAGAAGGGCTCAAAGGCAGTATTCTTTTCCAGAGCCGACAGATTGAGCTGCAGCGTGTTGAGACCCTGCATCACTTCGTTAAATTCAGCCTCCTGACCAGCATCTAGAATCACTTTGTGCTTCTTTTGCTCGGCGTCTGTCGCCAACAGCGTTAGATCTGCTTCTAGCTCCTTCAATTCCAGTGACAACCGTGTAAAACGAGCCAATGGGGACTCTAGTGTCGTTGTCGTACTGTTTGTACCAGAAAAAGACTCGTATTCAGTCTGCTTGGGCAAAGTCGGCTCTGATACATTTCACATGGATATAATCATATATTATTCATACAAAACAAAGTTGTGAAGGCTCTTGACGTACTGTAAACTTTGCCCATAAACACTTCAAAGGCCTGTGTGGCTGGCAGTTCTTCTTCGTCCAGCTCCATCAAGCTCTATTTACATTGGTAGGTAAGGTAGGTAGATACAAGACAGCGATCAATAATTGTTGTTACATATTATCCAGACAATAATACTTTGCTGTACCTTATCATGGAAATAGCCCTCAACCTCCGGACTACTACTAGCGCCTACACGTGCCTGACGGGCAGACGTATTGGCGGGCGCATAAGGACGGAACGGCTCCTCCGGCTCAGGCGTCTCAAAAACTTCAGAGCTCATGACCTTCCGGCGTTTGATCCCGTCTTTTTCAGTTGAGTAGTCCATAGCGCCGTATTTTTTGTCGCAACGCGAAAAGAAGCCTTATATTGTGTCGTTTTTTCACAACCTTATTCAGAGTTGTGTACGAACTGGTAGAAATTACGGATAAAAGAAATTACCGGTTTCGCTAATTAACGATGAGGTCAGATTATATAGTAGAATCAATCTGCCCCGAAACTTGCTAAAGAATAATATAGGATCCATTACTCAGCCTCCACCTGATCGTTAACTAGCCCCTCCCCAAATATTGTAAATAATCAGATTGGTCAAGCAAGATGTTTACCACCTAGAAGTAGGACGTCGATAGTAATTTCACTTTCATCTTAATGAACACCTCGCAGCTAACGAAAAAGTGAAAGCTAAATACCGTCTCAATTCTCGAGTCATATGCAATTAATGTCATTATTTCCATCTAGCAAAACGTAAGTAGAGAGAGCAATATGCACGCACCGCACTATCGATCACGAGCCTCATGGTGATAGATTTTCTAAAAGGTGTGACTTGACAATTGTGATGTTGGTTCTAAGGTGGGTCTGAAAAATACAAGAAGCTCTTTCAGACAAAAGTGATAGCTGCAAAGATTCGACCGTCTCCATGTGCGCGTAGTTGCAAAGGCGAGAGATGCTACGGCTCGGTGTGGTAACGGTGTGCAACGCTGTCTAAAAAGATTACAATGATAATCATGTGAAAGGTCATTGTTTTACAATATTCATGTTACAGTCTACGTCTGAGTAATGGCCACGCCCGACGCGACCGTCACAATCAAAGTCAATGCCAACACTATCAGGAACACATTTCCAATCAATAAACCCAGCCCGAAAATTTCCGGACGTTTGGTCTTTGCGTGCAGCACGATGTGCTCACCTAAATCGATCTCCGGAAAGCACGATATTGGTGCGTAGGAGATGGTATACGTCGAGGTGTTTGTTAGCCCGACGTCAACGTCCTTCACAGCGTCATAGTTCTTGAGATAAGTCAGCGCGTTAACAACATTACCTAACACCAATGTTCCAGGAGGATCGATACCGCGACGACGCACCTCTTCAGCGATCGTGTCCAGCGTGCTGCGGACCGTCGATGCATTGATCATGGTGGCAGCGTGGATAACTGCAGCGGGCATGTCGCTCGGGTATCCGCGCTCGGCTTGTAGTGCCTCGCAGAGTCCCTCGATACGGCCAATTGCCATGAGAAAAATCGTGGTGCGGTGGTCGCAATACTCGGGTAGGTCTGGGAAACGGTCCTTCTTTCCATGACCCGTGCATATCAGTACCTGATCGGCTACATCACGCATTGTGGTCGGAATACCAGCACTTGCAGGCGCTGAAAGCGCACTGGAGATGCCCGGGATCACCTCTACATCGAAACCCGCTTTCGAGTAGATCACAACTTCTTCGCCACCACGACCGTACACGAACGGATCACCGTTCTTAAGTCGCACCACTTGTTTGCCCATTGCAAGTGCTTCTAGACCCCAGGCATCAAGCTCCGCCTGTGCAAAGTCGGCCTGGCCGCAGCGCTTGCGTGCCACACGAATCTCACACTTGGCGATCTCCAGCACGTCACGGGGCACGAGACGATCTGCCAACACAAGATCTGCCTGCTGCAGTGCTCGATAGGCTCTGAGCGTCAGCAGCTCCGGATCGCCCGGTCCAGCACCAACAAGCAGCATTTTGCCCTTGGTCTTCGCCATCTTTGCCATTGCCACAGCGGCTTTTAAGCTTCTTGGGTCGTAAGGAGGCACAATAGAAAATGACACTTGAGTAGCAAGAAAATGTAAATGAGTCCGATGTAGCCAATCAGATGACGTTGTTGTGAATGGCTCTATTGCAGTGGTGCACATAACAATTACATACTGAGACCAAGTCAATGCGCGACTACGAAAATGACTGCAGCATGGTAACTTGAATCACTGTCTGCTGGCGCAAACGTGTCGCTTGCATCGGCAATTCAATGATGTAGATAAACATCTTCCCATCCGGTATATCATGGACGGCATACTCGGTCGGCTCCACTCTATCGTGATGTCTTAAGTATGCAATAGTATTTATGACAGGAAGTACTATGCGATCGGAGTCCCTGCTAGACGTGTCGATTAAATACCATCCATTGATTGGTTTACGAAACGTAACGCGACTCGATACGTGATAATTATTGGCTAATACTGTCTTACGCACGTGTCACTCTCTTCTGTCACTTTCACGAGGGTAAACTTTATCCGAGTCATTGACAACTGATCATTCTACTATTCACTTCAGCTTGACCATCACTCTTGGTCACCTACTTCTTACATATAATGCCACAATTCATCGCTGCAGTAGAAGAGGCTATAAGTCATGTAGCCTACGCTTTCAGTGACTTTTCATACCTAGTACAACCCGTGCCCTTTGGCTCTGCACTTGAAAAGTACATCATAAATGCACGTCGTAATGTCTTTGATCAAGTTGGCAAAGTTGAAGAAAATGCCGTGGGTCAGGAGTTCATTGAACGTGCTTATGCTGCAGCCACATGTGGTCAATTTGTCACGTTATTTGTATCCTCACCTTCGACGTTACTGCAGATGGTGCCTGTAATGTACAAGCTCAGCAGAGCGCAATTGCCTGCTGTCATTCACGTCATAGCACGTGAACACTCGGATCTAATGGCCGTACGTCAGACGGGTTTTGTCATTTTGTACTCGCTCAACTCTATAGAGACTGAGGATATGGCACTGCTGACGCATGTCGCGTCATTGCGTGCCAACGTTCCATTTCTGCACGTCTATGACGGTGAAATGACTCACAATGATCTCGAGCAACAAGTCGCTGCGTCATCCCACAAGCTCAATACTCTTGTGAATTACGAGTACTTGGCCAACCTCATTGGCTTGAAAAATGCCTCCGAAGCCCCTGCTTTCCGTCAACTCGTGCTAAGCAAGTCCAGTGTTGCAACCAACGCTGACGACGCTGAACTTTACTTTCAAGTCTCACCCGAGTGTATCGCCAAATACAACGCTGTCCCAGAGATTATCGAGGACGTCATACAGCAGGTCTTTACTAAAAAGAACTATCAGCTTTTTGAATACTTTGGTCACCCTGAGGCGAAGCAAGTGCTTGTGGTCATGGGAACAGCCTCGAGCGTTGTCAAAGACGCGGTGGAAGCGCTGTATACAAACTGGAAGGCGGAGATCGGTGTCATTTCTGTGCGTTTGTTTCGTCCGTGGTCAACCAAGTCTTTCCTGAACGTTGTCCCAGCCACAGCCGTAAAGTTTGCCGTCCTTGATCGTATGGACGATGCTACCAACGTTGGTGAGCCTCTATTCATGGACGTGCTCGGCTCCTTTCAGTCAGAAGAGTGGCAGAAGAAACTTGTGCCCTTGGTTATTGGTGGAAAGTATGCTTACAACGTCAGTGAGTCAGTGTTTGATGTCGTCACCGCACGCACTTTGGTCGAAGATCTTACTGCTGATAAACTGCAAAATGGCTTCGTTGTTGCCTCTCCAGCTGCCGTCGAGAATTGTAACGCGAAGACGACGACGACTGCGCAGCGTGTAAACTCGTACGTGTCGTCCAAGGATGGCTTTGAGGGTCCTTACGTGAAAATGCTGCTGCAGCTGTTCGAAAAACGTGCTGTGATTGCGAACTTGGTACGCTCGGAGACCATATGGAAAGCTCAAGATCAAAGCATAGGCGACAACGCTGTCCTCGAGAATGGCGAGTTTGGTTTCGGTGTTCACCTCGGCATTCTAGCGAAGCGGCAGGAGCTTAAAGATAAGGTGAAGACGGTTGTTACCGATGACAACGCCAAGGGCATTGTATCCCAGCGTCTGCTTGAGTGCCTCGTACATTGGTTCGAGAAGCAGCCGAAGCACGATGAACTGGCCAGCGAGATTACGATTCTTCTCGAGAATGAGCAGCAACAGAGCGATATTCTCGCGGAGATTTCCGCTCTGAAGCAATACTTCGCGCCTCTAAGCCAGTGGATTATTGGCAGCGAGGAATTCTCGCGCGATGTTGGCACTTCGGGTGTGCACCAGGTGCTTGCTAGCGGTGAGAATGTAAACCTTCTTATCCTCGATACGGAACCTATGAACGCAGTCTCCAAGAACAACCGCAAGCGTGACCTGGGTCTGTACGCGATGCAGTATGGCAACGCTTACGTTGCCTCGGTTGCGCTCTACGATTCATACTCACAGGTTCTGCGTGCGTTAAACGAGGCTGACGCTTTTGATGGTCCGTCGATCGTGCTTGCATACGCTCCAAGCTCTAGTAACATGGAACAGGAAACGAAAGAGGCTGTGGCTAGCGGCTATTGGCCATTGTACCGCTATAACCCTACTTTGGAAGATGTAGAAGGCGAGAAGGCATTCTCTTTGGAGTCACCGAATATTAAGAAGGAGCTGTTGACGTTCCTACAGCGCAACAACCAGCTGAGTCTGTTTGCTAAGCAGGCACTGACTGCCCCGACGGTTGCCTCGGCCACAGAGAAGTATGAGCAAATCGGGCAGCATGCGCTGAAGACAAGCTTCGAAGCTCTTCTGAATGGCATCGGCGGTCAGCACCAAGAGCCGTGGCAAATTAACACAAAGCTATGGCTTCTCGTTGGATCGGACAACGGCCACGCCGACGAGTTTGCTTCGAAGCTAGCGGAGGATGCCCTCAACTTTGGTCTGAAGAATGTTGAAAAGATGGACATGAACGAAATGACTATTGATCAGCTGTTGGACGAAGCCAATGACGAAAACACCTACGTCGTATTTGTCTGTTCGACTGCCGGCCAGGGTGAGTTCCCGAGCAACGGAAAGAAGTTTTGGGGCGAACTTTCAGACTTTAGTTCAACGCTTCCGCTGCAGTTCGCAGTATTCGGTATGGGTGACAGCCTGTACTGGCCTCGCGAAGACGAGAAGCACTACTTTTGCAAGGCCCCCGCAGACCTCGATGCTAAGCTAAGTGAGCTTGGAGCCAAGCGCATTGTTGACTTGGCCAAGGGCGATGACCAAGACGAAGACGGCCCGATGACTGTGTTCGAGGCTTGGAAGCCGCAGTTGTGGGAGCAGATTGGCATTCCCGTGGGTGTTGTGAGTTTGCACCAGGGCACAAAGAAGAAACAGCGGACGAACGAGGAAATCAAGAAGGAGAGTAACTACTTGCGAGGGACATTGGTGGAAGGACTTGAAGACCGTACAACGAAGGCTCTACCTGCTGACGACACGCAGCTCACCAAGTTTCACGGTATCTATCAGCAGGATGACCGCGATTTGCGTGAACAGATGCGTCTAGAAAAGGTAGAAAAAGCGTTCTCGTTTATGATTCGTGTGCGTGTTCCCGGTGGAGTGTCGACTGCAGCGCAGTACCTGATGGTAGATCAGCTTGCGGACTCCCACGCCAACGGTAACATTAAATTGTCGACTCGCCAGGCATACCAGCTACAAGGTATTCTCAAATGGAACCTAAAACCTGTCGTGCAGGGCATAAATCAAGTGCTGATGGACTCGTTGGCAGCTTGCGGTGATGTAAATCGTAACGTGATGGTCACTGTCAACCCGTCGTGCTCTGTGGAAACACACCAGGAGATCCTGAATGTGGCGCGTGACATTTCAGCCCACTTGAGCCCGAAAACGAGCGCGTACCACGAGATCTGGCTGGACAAGAAGATGGTGGCTGGTGGTGAGGTGAAGGATTTCGAGCCGTTTTACGGCGAAGCGTATTTACCTCGCAAGTTCAAGATTGCTATAGCTATTCCTCCGTCAAACGACGTGGATGTGTTTGCAAACTGCTTGGGTTTCATTGCCATTCTTAAAAAGGACAAATTAGTCGGGTTTAACGTGAGCGTGGGCGGTGGTATGGGTATGACTCACAACAACAACAAGACGTTCCCTCGTGTGGGCGATGTGATGGCGTTCTGCACGGTAGATCAGGCAAAGGATGTGGCGGAGAAAATCATGGTGCTACAACGCGACTTCGGTGACCGTGTCAATCGCAAGCACGCTCGGTTCAAATACACGGTCGAGGACCATGGTCTCGAGTGGATTCGCACTGAAATCGAGAAACGCCTTGGCTACAAGCTGATGGACCCGCACAAACACAACTTGGTCTCAAACGGCGACCGCTACGGCTGGATCAAGAACTCGAACGGCAAGTACCACTACGGATTGTTCGTCGAAGGTGGTCGTATCAAGGACTCCAAGGTGACCAGTATCCGTACTGGTCTTCGTGAGCTGGCCAAAGCTTTACCGCACGTTAAGTTCCACCTCACTGGTAACCAAAATTTGAGCTTAGGCAACATCGCTGAGGAGGAGATCCCGCAGATCAAGGCATTTATGGAGACGTACAAGTTCGGTAACGACAACTACTCGGGTATGCGTCTAAACTCGATTGCCTGTGCTGCTCTTCCAATGTGTGGTCTCGCCTTTGCTGAGGCCGAGCGCTACCTGCCGTCGCTTGTCACCAAGATCGAGGATATACTGGAGACGAACGGATTGCGCGACGACGCGATCGTGATCCGCATGACTGGTTGCCCCAACGGTTGTGCACGTCCCTACTTGGGCGAAATTGGTTTCGTAGGTCGCTCCCCGGGAATCTATAACATGTACCTCGGTGCGGGTTTCGCTGGGGATCGTCTCAACAAGCTTTACAAGGAGGCCTTAGACGAAGCGCAGATTCTGGAAGAGCTCGAACCCATTATCAAAGACTATGCCGAAAACCGCAACGAGGGCGAGAAATTCGGTGATTTTGTTATCCGTGCCGATTACGTAAAGGCCTGTTTAGCCGCCCCACTCGTGGAGAACCGTGCTGCTGGCGAGACCTTTCACGCGTGAGGATGAAAGCAATAGATGTAACGTATTCGACACTTAAGGTCTACGATTGTACGTTTTGTTTATGCATTGACGTCACTGAAATTTTATCTGAACTACCAACTGTTATCCGATCGTAAAGGAGCTCCTCGTCTATATCGTTTTCTCGTCGCATTGTTCAAGTTGCTAAATCTCCATTACAATGCAGTTGTCTGTCTGTCTTAATGTGTTGCTGTTGTCCGTTGCGATTGTGGTGACGTCTGCAGTGTACGACTACAAGCCACTGCGTCAGCCAAAAACGTACGAATCCGATTGCGTCAAACAATGGTCCAAACTCAGCACCAGCAGCTCCGATGGTTTGGACGATCGATCGATTGTCAAGAGCAGCACGAGTGAGCTGCGAATAAACTTGACGGTGATGCTTAAAAGGTTCACGAGCGATTACGTGGACTTCAATACCCGGTCATTTGATGGACTGATACCAGCTCCAACAATCAAACTATGTCCAGGTGACCGACTGGTTGTGACGCTCACTAACTCATTAGAAGCTGGTAGAAACAACAACACCAACCTGCATTTGCATGGGGTGCACGTGCCACCAGTGGGTGAGGCGGATAATGTGATACCTATTGTCGAACCGGGTGGACAGCGCAGATACACGTACGATATTCGTGCAGACCACCCGGCAGGAACGTTATGGTACCATCCGCACGCACACGGTAATGTGAATTCGCAGCTCAACGGAATGATGGCAGGGACGCTCATTATAGTAGATCAACCGGCAGATTTTCCGATAGAATTGGCTGCGATGGATGACCTCGTCATGATTTTACAAGCAATTTGCGTCAAGGACTGTTTCAACATGTTTGACAATCTCAAAGACTCGATTGAAAACAAGTACAGTTCTTCTATGAAAGACATGGAAACTACGAATGAAGAAGATGAACAAAAGGTTTGGCCCACAGATCTTGAGATTGTCGAGGATGATGCAGATATTCCGCTGAACGACACTTCACTACCTACAGTTTTTGTGAATGGACAATACTTGCCATCGTTGGATCTCGTTGTAAAGGAATACAAGCGTCTGCGGTTTGTAAACGCTATTCCAAATAATGTGGCTGAACTTGTGACTACTCGTGACAGCAGCTGCAAGCTGACTGTGCTCGCCATGGACGGCATTTACTTTGACAAACCTAAGGCGAAAGAAGTCATTGTTATTCCTCCAGGAGGTCGTGCTGATGTGGCCATCATGTGTGCTGAGACTGGAGAATTCTACCTTGAGACTGATTGTGCAAGCTCGCGCAACAAACTGCTAGGTCTTGTGAACCAGCACCGAGTACCATCTCAGCGCATTGTGAAGCTCAAGGTAATCAAGGAGGATGACAAATCTGAAGAAAGTGAAAGCTCCATTGTAGCCACGCGTCTCCCACCAGTGCTGCCAAAGCGACCAGCATATCTGGAAGATACAGTTGGGAGTGCCCCAGTTATTGCAGATAGCAACAAATACAACTTTGAGTTTTCGGTGTGGATGGATAAAGAAATCACGTACGGCGTCAACTATCAGAAATTCGATATGGCAAACATCAATCACTCGATGCCTGTGAATGAACTACAGCAATGGGAACTCTCAGTCAAAGATTACAGGATGTCAGCGGGACAAATGTGTGACCATAATGATGGTTCCAGCATGGAACGCCGGCTGACTATGTCCAGTCATTGCCACTCGATGAGTCATCCATTTCATATACACGCGACGCATTTTCAAGTGACGGACATTCATGATGACACTGACCCGGATGGGATTTTGTTCAGCGTGGGTGATTGGCGTGACACTCTGCCGCTCTATCGTGGAGGAGTGCAAATCCGCTTCATGCCGCGCGACTATATGGTGGGAAATATTTTTGCACACTGCCACATCGCTTCTCACGTTGACGCAGGCATGGCACAACTCGTGACTGTGTACGATCCGAGAACTCGCCCTCAGGAAGATAGAAAAGATGGAAAAGAGGACGATAGCTCGAATCCAGAGAGTGAACCGGACGACGACGACGATGAAAGCGAAAGTGATGAAATCGAGAAAGAGAAACGATAACATGTTGAATGGATGCACATCGACGAATGATTGTTTGTTTTTGGCGTTGATCAATGTAGAACAACAAACGCCGATGCCTTTCTTGCAACACTCAAAGCTCAACCAAAACATCGTCCAAAGGTTGAGCATAGCTCGAGTTCCAATTTCTCTCAAACACGTTTTCGAGTGCTTTTCGTGTCGGCTCGTGGTTTGTGTTGATGCTGGCTCCTGCTGTGGTGTAGAAGTACCCCCATTCCATGTTACTCGTGCCTATATTCGCACGCGTGTCCGTGACAATGTACTTGGCATGGTTCACGCGAGTGTACGAAGGCCACGAGGCTTTTTTGTCGGCACTAGATGTCGTGTTTTGCCACCCGGGTACACGAAAAATCTTAATCTCAAGTCTTCCAGAGCATTGAGCGTGCATATGGTGACACAACTTTGCCTGCTTCTGCAACGTGGCAAGAGCTTCCAGCAATTGAGGGCTGGTATGCTGCCACTGGCTGATCAGCAGTCGCACTTGTAGTTCAGGTTTGCTGTAGATCCCTGCAAGTAGCGCATCAGTGAGAGCTGGCCAGTACAAAGGTCCTGGCGTATACATTGAGAACGGCGCAAAGTCCATGACACTGAGACTAACAAACGATTTCGCCGACCGAATCGTGTACACTAGTGCATCTTCGTCAAAAGTTCGCGAATGAGCAGCCGTTGCTTCCAACGGAGCCGCCGAGACAAACATCTGTGAATGAGTCAACATGTTTTTCTCAGTACGAAATGACGTTTGTAATTGATGTGAAATGTTTCCCATCGCTAATAAACCAGCTTTTACAAATGGATCCTCCCTTCTCTTCTCTTCTGGTAAATACAGCGACCACGCAGGCACTTGCAGTTCATGTTGAAACTTTTCCGAAAAGTACGTGGCCGTCTTGGGAGGCAGCAACTCGGATGATGCAAATATCCACCAAGTTTCAAACAATCGTTGAATATCTTGAATGACCATTGACTTTGGTGCTAAATTTTCCATCATCACGCCCATTTCCATCACTTGAGCCAATGATTTCCAATCCATATTGGCACTACCAATATACACATGTTGTGTATCAAAAATCCAGAATTTGTGATGTAAAATACCACTTTTATACCAATCAGGACCATTCCAGCATCGCACGTAAACATTTTGAGGGGCGATATCCTTCAACATTTGTACTTCATGCGGTAATGACGTCGTTTCGATTCCCCCTAGCCCTGATGTGGTCAAAATTCGAATTTTGACCCCTCGTTGCGCTGCGTCTCGTAACGCAAATAGTAAATTTCTACCTCGACGAGCTCCAAATTTAGACATTTCTAACTCGGAATAAATTCTTCGGTCTTCTTCTCCTAATAAATTCCAGTACATTGCACTAAGGTCAATCGACGTCGTCACTGTCTCTACATGGCGTATAAGGACCTCAAATGTCTGTAGGACACTGGAAGATAATTCAAAATCCCCCACAGGCAATGACTCGACCAGCGACAGCGTCGCGTGGGTGCTAAGATTCGTATTAGAAATGAAATTTCTATCGTCAAATACTCGCGACTTGGGGACGTCCGAAAGCTTGGAGACTGCAGAATTGTGCGATGAGAAGCGCATAATTACGAGGAGCACACACGAAGCAGCCCATAGCAGAGCAAACACGGCAGCGCCGTCACCACGACGAAGCCGACGCGTCATTCGATGGTTCTATTTTTTAGAATGTATTGGATCGTTTTTTCTTAAAATCTGATTCGAAATAGAAACGTAAACCAGTTTCTATCATTTCTATTTGTGGGTTACGCATGTCAATTTGACTGGTCAGTAATTAGAAACTCATGACAATTGGCGTGTCCCGCAAGATTAAGCGCAAACTGGAGCGCAAAGACAAGAAGCGACAGAAGAATAAGCGGCAACGTAAAGAGGTTGATGTTCCAGTAGGAAAGAAAAGCGTAACGGCACGTGCGATTCACGGCAAGAAACCTGTTAAAACAACGAATCATGGAGACACAAGCATGACGAACAAATTTCACGAGTTTCTAGCAGAAGCTGCAAATGCCAATGGTGATTTCTATTTCTATTTCTATAGTAGGGCCTTGTAAAACAAAATAGTCTGAAAAAGAGGGTATTGATGTGATAGGCGACGTACAGTCAACAAGTATTGAAGACAAGAAAATCAAGGCTTTAGAAATGAAATTGGGGTTATCGAGTAGTAAATCTGAGTCGGCACGGAAGAAATTGCAAAAGTGTGAAGTTGTTATTGTATTGTTATTTTTCGAGTGATATTTGCACGAAAGTATCTGACTTTGGGTGCTATTTTGCTATGCTGTAGGGAGTACTCCAATGATGGATTGGGTGAAGATTTTGTTGACTTTTTGTTTGGACTGGATCACATTTCCGAGTGAGCTGGCAACATTTTAGTATTTGGCTGGAAAAAAATTGAGAAATGCTGAACTTTGTGTCTTTATACGTGTAGAGTGGTGAAGAAACGACCCAAGTTGATCAAGACAACGGACTCTACTGCTAATGATGCAGACGTTGAGAGTGATGGGGATGAGGAGAGTGAGGCTGAAGAAAGTGATAAATTGGTGGTTGGTAGCGATTTTGGAAACGAGATGGAGATGGACGAAGACACTCGACGCGAGATGGAGATACTGCAAGCAGAAGACGCAGAATTTTTGAAGGGCATGGATGAATTGCCCACTGATGACTCCGAGTCAGATACGGACCTTGCACAATTTTATTCGGACGAGGACGAAGAAGATGAGAACGAGGACGAAGCTCGAGTCAATACTCTGAGAAATCAACAGTTGGCCAGCGTCAAACCGACGGAGGAAAGTGATGGCAGTCAAAAAGCTAAGGTAGGGCAGGAAAGGGGTGAGAAAGAGAGCGATGACGAGAAGCAACTCGACGTGGAAGAAGAGAACGAACATGGTGAGGAGAGCGACGAGGATAAGGGGGAGGAGAGCGTCGTTATTGAAGAAGATATATATGGTCGACCCGTCATCAAGTCGAGTGAAGGAGTTATAAAGCCGTCGGCGTACTTGCCTCCTCACCTTCGCCGCGAAATTCAAGCCAAGGCCAAAGCTGCTGCTGCGGCAGCAGCTACAGAGAAAGCCAAGCCCTCGCAGATGGACGAGCAGGCTATGCGCGAGTTGACGCGGCGTATTAACGGCCAGCTTAACCGCCTTTCCGAATCTAACATGGAGTATGTCGTGTGTAGCTGCATGAAGTGTGCATGAATCGAATGTCCACTAACTATCTATGACGTTTTGCTTTACACTACTCAGGTCAATCGCGTTAGAAATGGAGAAGATATATCGAGAAAATGGCAGGTCACTTGTCAATGAGATTCTGATTGAAAAGCTGTTTCAGACGACATGTCATCCACGGCAAGTAATGGCACCGCTTATCAAGATAGCTGGTGCGTTGGTGGCAGCTCTGTACCACAGCGTTGGCAGTGAAGTGGGAGGTTTTTTCGTGGAAAAAATGGTGCTAAAGCTCATGGCAAGTGTGGAAGAGGAAAAAAAGACGCTAAACGAGTCTGCAGATACACAGCACGGTAGCGAAGATGATGGAGACGGTAGAACATCGAAGGTGCCAGTGAACTTGATGCTGTTTGTGATGATGTTGTACAATTTTGGAGTCGTGCACTGTACACTCGTGTACGATCTCTTCCGGTCATTTGTCGACAGTTTCTCATCGACCGACATTGAGCTTATTCACCAGCTTTTGAAGGTTGGCGGCGCTCAGCTTCGGGCGGATGATGCGGATGCCTTGCGGCAGATGGTCGCAACCGTGCAGCAGAAAGTGGGTGTGGCGCAACAAGCAAATGGCGGAAAACAAGCTGAAGAACGTGTTCGCTTTATTCTCGACCTCATTTACAATCTCAAAAGGTCGTCCAAGCATAGCAAGGGCCGCAACGCTGGAAGTGCCGGTGGGGGTGCAATAGATGTGTCATCACTAAAGAAGTGGCTTGGCCGCGTGAAGACGAGATGTGGAAACGCCAACAACCCGCTGCGTGTATCGCTAAAGGAGCTGCTGAATGCCGATAAAGATGGTCGTTGGTGGATAGTCGGTGGTACGTGGGTCGGCTACCAGCAACAGAAGTCGACCGATGGTGCGGCAAACGATGATGACGCCCATGAAACAGTGCGCGAGACAGACCGGCTTCTGAAACTAGCGGAGAAGCAGCACATGAACACGGACGTCCGAAAGAAAATATTTGTGGCGCTCATGGGAGCAACTGACTGCTTTGACGCCTACGAACGACTTTTGCAGCTGCATCTGAAGGAGAAACAGGAACGCGAAATTGTCCGTGTACTTCTACACTGCTGCGGCCAAGAAAATAAATTCAACAGGTACTACCTGGTGCTGGCCGAGAAATTGTGCGAGATGGACCCGCGGTATAAGTTTACTTTCCAGCTGGCCTTTTGGGATATTTTTAAGCAGATGAAGTCGTTGAAGCCGCGGAGGTTATACAACCAGGCTCAAATGTTTTCTGGGCTAGTGCTGAGCAGTAGCTTGTCATTGTCGTGTCTGAAGATACTGGACTTTACTCAGTTGGAGGAGAAGAGTCTTTTGTTTCTGCGGGTTGTAATGGAGGAGATCCTCAAGGTGGAGAGTGAATTAGAAATGGCGCAGGTGTTCCAGCGTCTGCTGCAGACGAAAAAGGCGCAGCTTACAATTGACGGCCTTGCCGTGTTCTTCCACCAGCACCTGACGAGTTTCCGCAGTGAAAGTGATGTGAAAACGCGGTCATTGCTCAAAAAGCGTGTCAAGAGTGTCAAGAGTTTGCTTGACCATCTATCCAAATCTGCAGCACTAGCCGACAAGGAAGCTAGTTTGATGTAGTTGGACGAAGCAAATCGTAATAGACGATGACTATTGCTTTCTCGACATAACCGATTTCATTTTGCCTTCTTGTATCGCAACTGCTGGTGACACATATACATACTTACATGGAGTGTAGCCGTCATCGCACTGGAAGGGTGTTTTCCATTTACATAATCCCTTGTTCTTTTTCCAGGAGAGTTGTGGATATCGCATCAGACTCGACATCTTCACCAAGAACAAGTCAACTCTACTCTTTAACAACGATCGGGTCCCAACTGTCCGTTAAATTTTACCACCACCACATAGTGTAGCCTGTACCATTTCACTTGATTCAGCTGTCCCTGATCGTGCATACGGTCATATCTCGCTCACTTGTCGTAGCTCGTTCGTCCTCCGCAATTACAATCGGTTCGATGCTACAGGTAACGGAAGTAGTCGATTCCTTCTCCTTATCAATTAATTCTTCATGAAGTTGTCGCCAGCGCGATAATCTCAAGTGATTCCTAGGAGACCGTCTCTGGATTTGCAACATCCTTCGTCGTCGAGTCTCCGACCCTACACAATCAGCAACACCATTAGTCTTCTAGCCAACACGCTGTACCAATTCAAACCAAAGCTTTACATATCAGCCGTATGCAGCAATACACGAACAATAACACAATGAGCACGGGTACACTCAAGAGCCAGAAGAAATGTCTTGTACTTCTACTTCTTGTACGATTATCTTCACTAATTGACGGATTTGTCGTGTCCGTCATCAAGAATCTGCTTGATTTGAAGGACTATTACAAGAAGTCTACGGGACTGACAAAGATGGTCTGCTAGCGATCGGATGGAAACATAAACTATACGCAGACGTCAATTAGTTACAATGCCATAAAGTTAAGAGGTCGTTTCGCGTTGAGTAACGACCAGCAGTTCACGGCCAGAATGGTTCGATCAATGTAAAGTAAAGCCGAGAAAACGCTGCACTTGATATAGCGTTCCAATGAGCGTCAAGCTATGGACGTCCGCTCAGTCCGTGAGTCTGCTCTCCTCACAGCCACGTCAACGTCGCTATTGACACTTGCTTGTCGAGTATTACAAAGGCTGCTGTTTCCCGGTGTGCTGGAAATATCCTGCACCTGCGTGTACACCGCTCCCTCAGTCTCACTATTTCGAGCTGAAGTCTGAGGCGACATCAGAGTGCTAGCTTCACGCGGAGCACCTGCCGCTTCCACTCGAGGCGATGTCATGTACTGCGGCTGTTCGACAGCACGCTGCTTTGTCTCGCGCTCAATCAACTTGTTCTGCATTTTTCTCCACCCCGAAAGCCGCAATCGATTCGACGGTGATGTAATGGCGTCCACATTGTTGTACGGGCCTTCTGATCGAGGAGGCGGTGGGGGTCGAGCTCTACCGCGGCAAAGTCCCCGTTTGTACATGAACACCGCTAATAGCACGACCTGTAGCACGAGACAGAAAATTAACATGGAGTTGTACGTTGCTACGTCCGTAGACGACGGATTGGTGTTGTCCAATGTCTTTCCATTCGTGTCGCATGCCACCGGCATGTTTGCTTTCCAATGGTCCGATTCACAAGCCATGATACAGACGCATCCATTAGTTCCTCGACAGAATTGTCGTTCCACTTCCATCGATACATTCTTAGTCTTCAAATGACCAAACGTGCCATTATTCACAAGCTTGTCACAGAGGATGCACGCTCCATCTGTCGACTCACAATACGTCGTATTGATCGATGGAAAGTAATTGTACCATCCTGTAGTACTCAAATCTTCATCCGTTGTATTCCGACGAAAGTCTAAATGTACTTCATAGCTTGTTATGCTTTCACAAAAGCCCGACGGGGTCAGCAAACAATCAACGCTCATATCCTCCACGTCCAGATTTAAACATTCATAACAAGTACGTGGCTCTCGACAGGATTCACCTTTTACTACGGGATGATACGAGCAAATATCGCCATCTAAATTACCCACACGATATGGTCCATTAATGGCTGGCGAACTAATGGGAGAAGCAAAAGACGTATTGTCGTTATACCGTACGTCATTATGCAGCTCATGATCCATATTCTCTACTACTACTACTACTGATAGACAATTAAGAGAAGAATTAGCCGCTGACTTGAAGAATTAGTCCTCCGACTTGGAACTTGTATACAACTTGACGTCCAGTAGCAAATTTTCCAGATGGGACGAGAAAAGCATTTACCTTTTCTTGGAATAAACACGATTAGATGCATCCATCTGATTCCTCTATTGAATTGTCATACAAATGTATAGAGATTGAATAGTACACGTTTACATCCGACTCGAGGTCTGGCTCTGACTTGTGCTTGAAACGCAGTGATACGATGACAATACGGAAAAGAGTCCACCACTTTTGCGTTTCTTACTGGACGTCGCTGTCTTGCTAGTACCGAGACCTTTACGACGTTTCAATGGTGTCTTGGTAGTACTTGAGTTTTTGCCAAGCTCTGAAAAAGCATCAGCCATTGCCTCGTCGTCCTTTAGTGCAGCATTCTCATCACTTCTGTCCTCTACTTTGTCGGAGCTGAACGAAGTGAAGACGAAACCTTTTGAAGGTGTAGAAGCGCCAGTCTAGACAGGAAAATACATGACAATATGTCTGTGAGTTTCAACTACTATATCGACGGTTAAATAGACCACACTTACCGAGTTGGCGCTGAACATCTTGCACTGGTCGATCACACGACTGAAGGAAGACGATGTCCGGGACGCAGATGTGAAACCGCCATAAGAATTGAACCGACCGAGCTTGGAACGAGGTCGGTCTGATTTTTTCAGAGTGCTACTACATGTGGCTGTCTGACTGCCCGGCGCAGAGTCGACGTCTGTGCGGTTCAGCAAGTGCATCAACTCCTGCGTGTCTTCGTCTTCCTCGAGCAACAGATTTGGCATTGCAGCATTGCTCTTCGTGGTCGGGTCTGCTTGATTATTCTCCAGCGCAATCTGGCGCTGCATGTCCTTCATACGCTGCATGCGGCGATTAATACGAGCACGCTCTGAAAAGAGCTTCATCTGCTGTCGCTCTCGTTCCTCGTCGGATTCGACCTCATTAGCATCGAGGCCGTTGTCTTTCGTAACCTCTTCCTCTTCATTGTCACTGCCGGATTCGGATGAAGTCACGTATATTTTGGGCTGAGTCAGAAAACGCTCACGTAGCCGACGCTCCATCTCGGCCTCTTCGTCTTCGTCTTCTTTTTCTTCCTCTTCCTCCTCGTCCCCTTTTTCACTATCACCATTTGCTTTCTTCCTTTTGCCATTATCGTCCTCACTCAGCTCTTCGTCAGACTCTAGAAGACCAAGACGAGCAGCTTCGAACTTGCTGCCATCAGCAGCCACAAGCTCATCTAGATTAAAACGACCACGAGCCCCCGAGGTCGAAGAAATACCTGAAAATGCGCGGCGATTGCGGCCAAAACCTTCTTTCACATTGCGCATAACTTCCTTGACCTGCTGGCGATCCTGGTCTTCTTGTTCACGGCGAAACATTTCCTCCAAGTCTTGTTCTTGCGCTCGCTCGTCATCTGAGAGGTCATCGACAATGTGATCCAGGTCATCCTCGCGAAGCTTAAGCGCGTTGCGCTCCTCTTCGGCCTCTTTGCATTCCTGGGTCTTGGCTTGCGGCACACCGAAACCAAAGTCGCCCAGACCGCCAATCTTGAGGGCATCCTCTTCTTCGTCTTCTTCGGCTTCTGACTCGACAAAGTTGTCTTTACGGCCTTTGACCAGCCGTTTGCGCTTGCGATTTTGCATTGCCTCTACACGCAGCAAGTTTCGGTATCCTGCAGCTTTGTCCTTGATTATTGTCGACGTAGCTATCGTTGCCGTTTCTTTATCCACCTCCGCTGTATCCTGTTCTTCCGTTCGTGTGTCAGCTATAACTTCCACCGCGACGGTATCATCCTCCATATCATTGTAAGCATCGTCTCCATTCTTAACGTCTTGCTCACTATCGGCTTTATTCCCGTCTTCGTCCTCATCAACATCAAGTTGCTGAATCCTATTATGACGTCTCACCACTTTTACGCTCTCCTGTTCCTCACTCTCCATGGTCTTGTGAACACTAGTAGCTGTTATTTCCACAACCTCAGCTTCCTCTACATGAACATCATTGCCTCCTTTTGGGTCTGCAGTATCTGCACTCCTCTCTACTGACTCCTCCTCCTCTTTCTCCTCTCTCTCTTGATTCTGTTTCTTTCTCTCTCTCTCTTGATTCTGTTTCTCCTTCATCTCACCTTCTGCAATCTTCACCTTCTCAAGTCTATTCAAATGCTTTAAATGTTCTTCAGAGTTCGCATACCCAAATAACTCGGCCATATTCTGTGCGCCTTGCTGGATTGCTTGTGTCTTGAGCTTCGATAGCATGTCCTGCTTCTTTCTCGACGACGTGGCCGCCACTGGCAGTTTTAACGTCGTCTGCGGGTTGCGTGTCTTGGAATGTGAAAACACGTCACTTGTCATGGCTGATAGCGGCCCGTAGCGCCACTGGTTGAGCTGCTGCTGCTGCGCTCGATTGGCCTCCTTCTTTTTGCGCAACTTGGCCACTAGCGCATCCTTGGCGGCTTCGTATTCAGACAAGGGTGGCACCTCCACGTCCTCCAGCACACTCTCTACCGCCGTGTGTTGTGTGATCTGTGTCACGCCCTGGAGCAGCAACTCCGTCTCCAGTGCCAGTTCCTCCCCGTGACTCATCGTAGCAATAAAATGACTGGGAGGTGATACTTGCAAGACTTTCCCGCCACTTTTAAAAAAGCGCGCCAATCAATGTTAAAACAAATTTACACTGTTTCAACGTGTAAAAACAGTGTTATTATCGTTTCATCAGTCATACCACGTTGTGATCTACCTCAATGGATCCTGATTCTCCTACGATTCCACCTCATCCACCTCTAATTAGCTATACATTTGGTGGTATATCTGCAGTTAGTGCCGTGTTCTTTACGCACCCGTTTGATCTATTGAAAATTCATCTTCAGACGTCTCGAAAAGAGCATTTAAGGTTACTTCCCGCCATTCGACACATAATCAAGCAACAGGGACTTGGTGGGCTCTATCAGGGCATCTCGGGGGGAATTATGAGAGAAGGCACTTATTCAACAATACGTTTTGCAGTTTATCACTATCTAAAGGATGAGGCGGTACGTCGTAATGACGGGAATTCCATTTCAACATGGCACAATGTTTTACTTGGGATGATTGGTGGAGTTCTTGGAGGTGCCGTTGGAAATCCAGCGGATATTGTCAACATTCGTATGCAGGCAGATAGTCGATTGCCAATTGAAAAGAGACGCAACTACAAACATGCAGTTGATGGACTGATTCGAGTAGAAAAAGAAGAGGGCATTGCAGCTTTAATGTGCGGTGTTCGACCCAATATGATTCGAGCCATGTTACTTACGACGGGACAGATTGCAGCTTATGACTTGGCCAAGTCGATGATCTTGCAGAATTCAATGGTGTTGATGCACGACAATCTCAAGACACACGTTCTTGCCAGTATGATCGCTGGGCTCGTGGCTACTACGGCTTGTGCACCAGCTGATGTGGTCAAGACAAGACTCATGAATATGCACGTTCCGAACGAGTACAAAAGTGCCTCTGATTGCTTTGTGCAGGTGGTGAAGCAAGAAGGACTCAGGGGCTTGTACAAAGGATGGCTGCCGGCATACATGCGCCTTGGTCCACAGACGCTGCTGACGTTTATGTTTCTTGAACAGCTACGCAACCGTCTGCTATAGACAGGAAAAGTCTATACAGTTGCCACGTTGGCGGATTAAATGCTGAAGATTTTTAAGCCCATTATCATACTGAAACTGAGTAAGTCCATTCTTAGTGAGGATTCTGGGTGCAATGGGACGAGGTCGTCGTCTTTCTCGGTAATCGAAGAATCGCTTATTTCGCAATTTACATTGGAACTGCATCGTCATGGCGTTTCCGTTCCAGATGGGTCTCGAATCAACGAAGATGATGGAATTCTTGGCTAGTTTACCAGAAGAAGAGCTAGAAAACTTTTTGCAAAGTGTTAATGATACAGCTGATGAGTTTCACGAACAGAATTTGCAATCGAAAACACAGGAAGGTCTGATTGAACGCTTTAAGAAGATGCGTACCAAGTTCACTCGACCCGGAGGTGTCTATGCGGATCTGGGGTTTGACGCTGTCACCAGAATAGCTTTTACGTCAGCTGACGCCAAACCAAAGACCAACATGAGGTCGTTGCGGACTTTAAAACCCATGATTGTGAAGGAACTGGATGCTGGCACAACACACTACGGCCGGTATCTCTGCGGCTTTGTGGCTATCGACGATGCCTTTTTTGGTGTCTCTTCCGCGTCACTCCTTCTTGAGGACGTAACGGGAAGGTTAGTGGAGATTGCCGTCTATGGACTGGTAGATGCGAACTTATCGTCACACGAGAAACTATATATTGTGGGTCACAAGTTTCCGAAGGGACATCCAATTGTTGTATTTGAACCATTTTACAAGGTGCGGATGGATGGATCACTAGGTATTCGGGTGGAACAAGCAACGGAAATCGCCCCATGGCAAGATGTACCGACTGACATGGTAACATGGAAGAAACTTGGCAACGACTTCTTTAGTGTGCTGAATACCCAAAACGAAGGCTGTGGAGCGCTGGCGTGCTATCAGCAGGCTATTCAAGCGATGCAACCTGAGCTTTGTACGTTAGTATTGCTGCTGAACAATCTTGCAACTTGTCGTTTCAAAATGGGAGACTTTGCAACTTCCATTCAGCTATCTGGAGTTGCAGCTCATCTTGACCCGTCGTATTTCAAAGCCTGGTTCCGCCTCGCGTCAGCTCTTGTTGAGAACGGGTCTAAATCAATAGCCGCAAGTGTGGTCGCACATGTTCAGAATAATTTACCATTAGCTCCCCACGACCTCCAGCTGCTGAAAAGCACGTTTGGTGCAATGCACGTGTCGACTGACAGTTCGCCGTTTGATTCGTACGCGAAATGGTGCACAAGTCTGGAGTCACCGGGTTTTGTACTAGCAAAAGAACAACCGTGTCAAGGACCAAAAGATGCGGACACGTGGCGAAAAGAAGGATCAGGTTACTTCTCCACGGGCGACTATATTTCCGCGGAGGATTGTTACCGGAAGGGTTTGGCACTAACTACAGCCTGTCGCTCCGACTTGTCGATCGTGCTAAATAATGTCGCTGCTGTCTATTTAACGATGCGTCGAGAGAATAGCGATATTCCTGGAATCAGCATTGGTAAACTCAATGTGACTTCAGCAAAACTGCACGCACAACTGTCCACTACGGAATCAGCACTTTTGAATTGCACTGTTGCTGGATTAATTGATCCGTTAAACTGTAAGGCTTGGGTTCGTCGGACGCGATGCTTAAGATATATGGGAAATTCTAAGAAGGGCTATATTGCAGACCTGAAGATAGTCGTTGATAAGGTAGCCACACAAGTTTGCACTACAGCCGAAAAGTCCAAGCTATTTCACGAATTCAAGCGCAAATTAGACGACAACATCCAGCGACGTTTACGGTGTTTTACCGATGTAAAGCCCGCATATGAAGTCTCTGGTGTGTCTACTGAAGTTCAGCGGCAACAGCGACATGCAACTCATCCCCAAAATCTGGTTTCTGCTATCGGGCGTGAGGACGAGCATGAGGATGACATTGACCAATACATTGCACAGATGGAAAAAGTCGAGGCTATGATGTGTTTTGCTCTTGCGGCTTCAGAGTCCCAGACTGACCAGAGACGAAACCTTCCACGCGAGATGATGATGTATGTGAAGGATACGCCGCCACAAATTCACATTGAGTTCCCAATGCTGCGTGGATGGCCGACAGGCATTGAACCAGTATTTGCGAGGAAGATTCTTTACAGGGCGTACCTGGATGCCAGAGCGAGTCCCTGGGTCACAGCTAGCAGCATGCGTGAGGGAAGATTTTTTGAGAAGATAGACCCGGCTGACTTGGTAAAGCGATGGCATGGAACTGTGGCGTTTGAAACGCTTGCGAAGAAGGCCACTAGCCTGAAATTTGGTGACATCATTGCTCGGAACGAAGAACCGAGTATCGCTGTACCAGCTTATGATGCTCGCATCCGCTCCAACTTTGCCAATAATCCCAACCGTGCAGAAGCCTACTTTCTCGGAACAACTCACGTCGCCATTGGCTTCAACGATTTCAGCAGCCTTGTTACTGCAACAATTCGCGATCAATTGCACAACGGCATGCCTTTAAAATTTGTGGGCTTCGAGATGAGCGAGTTTGCCGTTGCTAAATGCAAAGTAGTTGCGCAGATGCTTGCTTCACCTGACGTATCGATCTCGAGCGTGATGGAGGTTTGGCTATCGTCGACTTGGTCGTGTTCCACGCTGAAAGATTTTCGAAAGTGTGTGAATACGGTGTTGGAGTCATTGCGTGGTCGGAATTCAAATCCCAAGGTGATGACGTATCTGAATCATTGGGCTTCGGTCGAGACAATTTCTGCTACAAAAGCACACACGGAGTTCTTTGCAAACTTGCGGAGATATAGCCACCGAGTACTAATAGGGCTGCATTGCTTCCGCCGCGTGGTCGACCGGCTTGACTTGACTCAGTATATGTTAACTGGGGAAGTTCGAGCGTCCTCACGTGTAATGAATATCGTGGAGAAAGAGCAAAGCGCGAGCATTTCAGAAGCAAATGTTTCAAAGGCTGGCAAGTCGACGTCGAAGAAGAAACGTAGACACAAGAAGAAAAAAGCGAAGAAAGGAGCAGTGGCGACACCTTCGTGCATCAATGCTCCATTGGTTGGCAGCTTGACAATGTGGAACGTTCCTCCAGGAGCCCCGCCTCTGGAAGAAGATGTTGCATTTAACACAGTGGACTTTATGAAGATCTTGGAGAATTTTGAAGAGCGCGAGAAGAAACAGAAACACTCCACGGATGACTTGTCAGTGGTCGATTTGTTCATAATTCACATTATGCGGAACTTGCATCGACTTCATGAATTGATGACTGCAAACAAATTGTCAATCGAGGTGAACTATGGCGTTGTGAAGGCAGTTCGAGGAAAGGCTGCGACAGATCCCGAAAACTTGAATCTGTTGGCACGTATCGCACTGATGCGCCCATTTACGATCTCATGGTCTAATGTACTTGATTACTTTGTGCCTGAAGACTTTCACGACCTTGCGCGTCGGTGCTCGATATTTGGCGACTGTGTACATTATGGCTACAGCATGAATTGGACAACTCAAGTGTTTGGGGCGTCATTACTCGACTACGACCCCACGTACCACAAGGCGCTGATTGACTCTACATTGGACGCGGCTCTGGGCTTTTTAAGCGAGACATCACTATCGAAAATGTTGACGGTATTGGGGCTGGACAAGCTTTTGCATTTGCCCTTTCGTGAAAACCCGCTAAACAGCACGGGATATGTTCTAGCGTGCATCCACCAACAGAAATGGATTAATTATTTCATGGACAAGGGGAAACTGTCTCCAGAGGCGGCACATCGGCTGGGTGTGCGGTGTACACCGTCGAACTCTGGTCTCCAGGCGGGAGCAATGGAGCTTGCAATACCAAGTCCCTTGGATCGCTCGTCATTGACCTTATACATGAGTTGGTGCTATGATCCAAAGCTTCGGCTGCAAATGGTTGACCTCGGAGCAACTGACACAGACAAGTTAGCACGAATTGAGCAATTACTAAATGTCCAAAAGGACGACCAACAGGTCGCTCAAGGCACTGGTTGTTCGACCTCACGAGACTTGACGACGGTCTATAACAGCGATAACCTTGGAGCCTGGTCGAAGTAGCATTACGGGTCATAACCATAGTCATTAATACGATAAAACGCTAAAATGACAATTAAAAAACATTTTTACGTTTTCTATGGTCCGTAATAACAAATCAAATTGTGGTGTTAGTCCGTAAAACGAGGTAATATTGTGAGGTCGCAAATTTGTCTGTGGCCTCACTCACTTCATACAAAAACTTAAAGAAATGATCGCCCGTCAGACTGCTCGTCTTACCGCCCACTATGGTGCTCAACAACGAGCGTACACCAGCCTCGTGAATAAGAAGAGCCACATTCCAGCCGACCAAAAGCTATTCACGACGTCCAAGGCTCCGACCTATATCAAGCGCCCATCGGACCGTCCGCTCCTTATTGTCATGTTTCTTGGTCTTGGTCTTGGTTTTGCTCAAAGCCTTCGTGGTGAAATCAGCATGGCTACGGGCACTGGAAAGAACGATTAAGGAAACATCTGCTACGACAGCAACCAGAAAGAATGGAAAATGTGAATGGAGATAGACATTGCGTTACTCAAGGTAGTAACAGCGCTTATCGTAGCTGCGCTTAGTTAGGACTTGTATCCATTTTATACAGAAATACCAAAACCTTTAGTCTAGCAGAAGACATTCCTGCTTCATAACGAGCACTTCTAGACTAGAATTGCGAGCCCTTTTTGTTGCCAATTCCCTTCTCGTTCGCATCTTTCCAGTCATCCCAAGCGCGGTCCTTGAGTGCCGCTTCTTCTACTAACGCCTCAAAGTCCTCGTCTCCGTCCTCCACGAGCTGGTCATACCGACGCGGTCCCTGCGTTGACTCCCTGCTCAAGCAGCAAGAGACACAGTGCAAACATTACATCGCATACATACGTGCACTACATACAGCTCATCACAACTTACTGCTCTCTTTTCTGGCGCTCCACGGCACCAGCCACCTCTTGGTCTGCATACTCCTCCAACGTCATTGTTGGTAGTCGGTGGCCAGGTTTGAACACTCCCGAACGAATTGTCTCGCGTTGCATTTCCATCTGCGGATTAATGTGCGTCACCTCCTACAGCATATCCACAAGCCACCAAACCAATCAGCTCGAGTTAATCAGTTCCCACCACCTGAACAAACATAAGCGTACAATTCCCTGTCCCTGAGGTGCCGGTGGCGGTCGATGCGCTTCCGAAAACAAATCCTGCTTGTCCGTGGCCGCATTCATCTTCAGCATGGTCTCAAGCATCTCCTTCTCCTGATTAATCGACGCCTGCTCCTCCATGGACTTCAGTACCGCCAGTTGGATATATGTCATAAGTTGTTCGCGCTCCAAGTCCACCACGTCGTCTATATCCTCATCCAGCTCATCCACGTCCTCTTTCTGTTCTCCACCCACATTTGTGTCACTCTTTTCCTCACGCCGCTTTTGTACTTCCATCAGCTTTTTCTCCATCTCTCGCTGCTGCTGAAACCGTTGAATCTTTTCGTCTCTCGAGAGTGAAAACTGCTTGCTCTCCAGTCGTTCGTACTGCTCACGTCGTTTCTTCTCTAAAAGAATGCCAACACTCTCAGCACGGTCCAGGAAATCAGTCAAAAACATATCGGCTTCACGTAAAATCTTGATGCGGTAGACGACATTGCGCGTGTGATCTGTGGGACCACATCGTCGCTTGTTTTGCTCGTCGGAATGCTGGAGTTGTTCTTGTGATCTAGTCTCTTCCGTCTGCTGGAAGAAGGCCTGCTTGGGTGTAAGTATACCCAGATAGTACTCAATACAAAAGCCGTATAGCTGCGTGTTCTGTAGCTCAAAGAAACGCTCATTCATTGACAAAACACCGTCCAATTGCCGCTGGTGAATACATTTCTTCATGTATTGCAACGATTGTGTCAATTGATCCTGATAAGCTTTCGAATTCGTATCATACACGGCCGTAATGGGACTTTCTAGTGCCATAAAGCGATGATGTGCCTCCACGTAGCTCACGCAGTCGGGTAGCGTCGTGGAGGAAGCCATATACACCTGGAATACTTAGCTCTAATAGAGGGAGATTGGGTTGACTATGTAGAATGTGTGTGGTACACATCGAGTCAACATTACAGTCGATAATGTTGATAAACTTCTTATTTTACCTATACAGATCAAAGTCTTATAATGAAAGCAAATATATAAACAACAACAGTGGTAACTTTCTGCTTCACAATTATGTCGTCCACCTACTTCTACCAACGTCCTAATTGAGCAGCAGCTACGATAAGCGCTGTTACTACCTTGAGTAACGCAATGTCTATCTCCATTCACATTTTCCATTCTTTCTGGTTGCTGTCGTAGCAGATGTTTCCTTAATCGTTCTTTCCAGTGCCCGTAGCCATGCTGATTTCACCACGAAGGCTTTGAGCAAAACCAAGACCAAGACCAAGAAACATGACAATAAGGAGCGGACGGTCCGATGGGCGCTTGATGTAGGTCGGAGCCTTGGACGTCGTGAATAGCTTTTGGTCGGCTGGAATGTGGCTCTTCTTATTCACGAGGCTGGTGTACGCTCGTTGTTGAGCACCATAGTGGGCGGTAAGACGAGCAGTCTGACGGGCGATCATTTCTTTAAGTTTTTGTATGAAGTGAGTGAGGCCACAGACAAATTTGCGACCTCATAATATTACCTCGTTTTACGGACTAGCACACAATTTGATTTCTTTTTCCAGACATTTTTTTTAGATTTACAAAATATAAATATAAAATCTAGGTGAGTTGCTAGAACGAAATGTTAAGGTGCGCGTATGATGCGCATCTTAACATCGTACGCGCATCTTAATATGTCATATTAGCCAATTCAGTTTAATCAATTATCTTGTGAAAACCCTCTTGGATCGAGAGAGAACAGCAAGTTTTTGATATCTAGATGCTGCAAGTTTATTACGCTTTTTAAAATTACGTTGAGAGGAGACACATACAGATGTTTGCTGCTTAGCTGTCTAGTTTGCGTGCTAACTGTCGCGCGAGGACTCCAGTCCATGTCGGCGTTGCTTGAAAATAAAATTGCAGCATACGCTAGAGCTAGCCAGTGTGTAGAGAACGCATTAGCCGCAAATCGGCTTGTTGTTCTTTATGCTACAGAAGGTATAAATGAGTCGCCACAATTGAGTACGTGATGCCTAGAAATATCAATTTGATAGGGCACGTTCTATATCGTGTCTACATGCTTGCAGCCGCCTTCACACATGTTTTTTATGTTGGAAGTTGAGGTGGAAGATCGTGAGTTGGATTAGCCATAGCCGTCATTTGATCAATGATAGGTCAGTGCAATTGGGTAGTAGACAAGTTGACTATCAACCATTTAAATCGAGATGATTGGAGCACAGAGTTTATGGAAAAATAGTGGCTAGGAGTCAGGTAGAAAAAAATACAAAGCAATCAATATACAGAATCTTATCGTCTTCTTACTGCAACAAGCTTACTTGCCAACATGTTATGAGCCCAATGGCTAGAGAGACTGAAGCGACTACCAAGACACCAGGAGGTGTCGCACAAGCTGCGCCAGGGCGTAACTCGCCAGAGCGTGTGCCCTTGTCTGTGAACACGCCGGCAGCCGTCGAAGAACCTTCCGCCCGCGAAAGGGGCGAGGCGACCGATGACAAGATCCTCGCGGCCCTTGCCGCAGTGACTGACCGCCTGGTGAAGCTCGATTCTTTGCAGCGCGTCCGGGGCGAAAGCAAGAGGATGCTTGGAGCTGTCGATAACGGCATGTTTGCGTCCAAATTGGAAGCGAACATGCGTATACGCCCCATGACCATAGACGCGCTTAGACCGCTGTAGTAAAAGCCAGAAGCACCTCGCACGCGCTCGTTGGCCAGATGATGGAGAGTCGACGTTCGCCTCGCTCGCGCCGCCGCGGGGACAGCCTTCAGCTCAAACCTTATGCCGGCACGAGCAGCCGAGCCTATGGCCGCACCGCGTCAACAAGCGCCGCCACCTGCGACGCACACAGCGGCAGCGATAGGCAACTACGAAATGCCGAACTCGAGTCAGCGAAACTCAACCATCGCAATCTCGATGGGACGGAGCTATACAAAAAGCTCGGGAGCGGGTTCTTTTACTGATGACGCACCTTCATGCGCGCCTTAAGACTCGCTGAAGGGTCGTTTGGTTTCTCGTAGATGGAGGACGTGAAGGTCAACCTCCTTGTCCACTTCTTATCCGGCATAATGCGGAGCGCTACTTTCAACACTTGGTGTGTGCAGCAGCCGAGACTCAAACACATTATGGAGCAGCTGCACATAGCGTTCAAGACGGCAATCACGGCGATCCAGGCCATGAAGCTGCTCATGGAAAAAAAGAAGCGCGACGCACCTGGGCCGACACTTCCGTTACATGGTAGCCGTCAGCGACGCGCGTGGTGGAGCCGACTTGCCTGTGCTTGACAACATCGTGCATCACGCGTCGCAAGAGCTATTAAATGTCATGCGGGCGATGTACGACATGACGCGGTCCGACTACCTGTACCACGCTTAGAATTTGGCGCACTTTGCGCAGTCGATCGATCTCGGCAACGGCGCGGTCGTTCACGAGGTTGTTGCAGCGAATGTTAAGACTAATCGCCAAGACACACAAATGTGTTTCCTCTGTGGCAGGACAGGGCACGTCGTGTCCGACTGCAAGGCAAGGGTCGTGTTTGACGACGTGACGATCATCACGAGCGGCGACAAGGTGCTTGCGCTCACAAAGAGATCTCTAGTAAATTGCACAAAAGGAGCCAAAAGCACGAAGAAGAATAACTTGCGAGGCAAAGCGGCTCGTGCGAGCGACGTGAGCGACAAAGCGCAAGTCTCGACCTACGCGGGAGTCTTCGTGCTAGCCGCATACGATGCAGTTTACATCGATCGAGGTGGCTGGATTCTCGACAGCGGTGCGAGTAGACACCTCGTGAGCGACGAGTCGCTTCTAATCGACTCAAGTGCCTGCGTCCATAAGAATTCCATGGCTGATGGTGAGCCACTGCGGCTGACGCGTGTTGGGAATGTGCGTCTTGAGGTCCTCGCACGCGGTATGAAGATGGATGTGAAGCTGACCAAAGTCTATCTTGCGCCGCGTCTGACAAAGAATATCACCTCGCATGGGAATCTGGAGAGCAATGGGTTTGATCTCGTGTACGACGACAACAAACACGCGCTAGCACGGCGCAGAGACGATACAGTCATGTTTGACGTCGCGATCGACCGCAAAGTGCTTCACGTTAAGACGACAGCGACACAGCGCTGAAGATGCGATCATGGCCTCGCTCGAAGCACGTGCAATGAATCTGATGCGGACGGCGTACACGAAGCCTCACTGCTGAACTGGCACCAACAAATCGGCCACTTAGCGTTCAATACGATCGAGCGTATGACGCTCAATACGGCGTCGGATATTCGACTGACCAGCAAGAAGCGCATAGCGTGCGTATCATGCCTCGAGGGAAAGCAGACGCGCAATGAGCAGTCGCAGAAAGACAGCGGCACCAACTCGCCGATCAACAGGATAGGCGGCGTCATCTGCTGGACCTTAATAGCCCAATGACGCCGCAGGATCGCCTCGGCAATCGATATATAAATAAATTTCATCGACCATATGTCGAACTACTGCCGTGTGTTCCTCGCGCGCAAGAAAGACGCGGCGGCGAAGCAGTTCAGAGCGTTCCTTTTCCACTTTGAGAAGCTCTTTGGCCTTAAGATTCACGTGATTAGAACGAAAGGCGGTGGCGAGTACGCCAACGGTGACTTGTTCTGCAAGCACACGGGTGGTGTCACGCGCCAAGTGTCGGAAGCGTGCAACTAGGCATTGAACGACAAGGGGGAGAGGATGCACCGGGAGGCGCTAAACCTCGCGCGCAGCATGATGTTAGCGTGCGCGCTGCCTTTACATTTTTAGGACGACGCGGTGCAGTACTTAGTCCCCATCTTGATCAAGCTCAACGCGAGCGAACGCGAAGAGAGAATCGCCTATGGAGGTGCTGAAGGGCAAGGCGCCGGATCTACGGAGCATCGTCGCCTTCGGATCGTCGTGAATCATCTACCGCGATCCGCGCAAGAGCTCGCTGCAGCAGCGATATTAGACAGGCATCATCTTGGGTGGGAGCGAGGGAACGAACAGATACAAGGCCCTTTCAAGCGAGAGAACAAGGTTGTTGTAACAAAACACGTGAAAAAAATCTCCACGCTGTCCGATGTGCAAACGAATAACTGGAGTGCGCGATGAAGGTCGGCGATCGAGACGAAGAAGTGAAAGGGACAGCGCTAAATGGTGACGGCGCTCGCAAGAAGAGCACGAAGACGTGGACGCGACAAGCGCACAGAACGCGCAGCGCATCGAAGTGCGAGCAGTAAGCTACACGCCAGGAGAAGCGAGATGCGAGCGATGAGGTGGATAACGTAGGTTTTGAGCGCGATCCGCTCAGCTATGGAAAGCACGAAGCGCGCGGAATGTCAGACAGCGATGAAAGAGGACCGCGATCAAGAGGAACGACGTGTGGCGCGTCACCAATCGCAGCCCGGGCGTGAACGCTCTCCACTCCAAGTGAGTCTTTAAGACCAAGACGGGAGAAGAACGGAGAGCTCGAGCGATACAAGGCGAGGCTTTTCGCATGCGGCAATGAGCAAGTGCACGGCATCGATTACAATCTGACCTTTGCCGCTGTGATGGACATCTCGACGACAAAGGTCGTGCTGGCGCTCGCAGCAACGTAAGGCGTGCCGGCCAAGCACGGAGACATCCCGAACGCATACGTGCGTGACGAGAAGGAAGCACACCTCGATATCTACTTACATATGCCACACTGTATGACCGTGTCGAAGAGCACTCTGCGCAAGATCGGTGCTACGCATCCAGGCGAGATCGTCTTAGAGCTGATGAGGAGCCATTACGGGCTGAAACCAGCCGGGATTCCCTGGAGCCAATTACTTTATGCGCGACTCAGCAATGAGGGGCACGTGCGCTGCTTGTCAGACATGTGTCTGTACCACAAGCGCGACGGCGGTGAGCTG